ACCATTCTGCCTCATCGTCGTTCGCCCCGTCGCCAACCTGCCATTGCCACTAGAACCCCTTCTGACCATCCTCTCATCGCGGAACCCTCTTCCTTTCTCTCTCCCACTGTCACCACCTACCGAATTTTAGCCTCCTGTCTTGATGAAACCCCTTTTCTCTCTCTATCCCGCCGACGCTCTCATTTGCCACCTTTTTCTCCCTTCCCCTTTAGCTATTATTTAATTAATCACCCTCAATTCTCATCACCACGAGAACTCTTTCCTTTTCTCTCTCCCGGCGTCGCCACATACACCTCGTTTCCTCTCTCTCTCTTCCCTCTCCTCTATTTCCATTTCTTTTCTATTGACTCTCATTATTCTTCCCACCCATCCCACCTCTATCCACCTCTTCCATTCTCAATTCCTCCTCCATGCCTTTAGTATTCTTCTCTTCTGTTTTTTAATCCTCTTGAGAATCAACTCAAGAACCATGGATCTCAAGCCTTTAGAATCAAGAAAATCAATCAAAAATCTCCTTTGGCAAGATACGTTGATTTCAATTCTCTTTGTGGAGTGATCATTATTTTACATTCTTACTCCTTATAGGAACTAAGTGAATTATAAGATAGTCCCCTCTTCTATCTTTTATCAGTGATCTTAACACCCCTCGTTGAAATTCTATCTAAATCCTTGAAAGTGCAGTTCTTCTAAGATAATTATGATCCTAATTCTTCTAAAATCAGTGGAATTAAGCTACCCAAAATCCTCCTTAACTTAGCAAAAGTCAATCTTAAATCCCAACTTCTTTTTCTATACTAGTTTTCACTCTCTCCTCTATTTAGTCCTACATCAGTGACACATGATTTAAAAGATATCTATCACTAAGACGATGATCTAAATGTCAAAAAAATTAAAAACATAAGTATCACTAAGAACATATTAGAAAATACACATCAATTATTAGGTATATTTATTTGGATGGATAATAGAAAATATTGATATGCCTTGCCTATATATTATTATAAAATAATAATAATAAAAATAATTTGTTAACTAAATGTTTTATCTCCTATTTGATGTGAAAATGTACCTCATCAAAATGATATGTTATTTTGCAAGAGGAGTTATAGAGTGACATTAATAATATTCTACATAGTATGATTATTGATGTTCCTCTAGTCATTGTTTTAAAAAGTAATTAATTTTAAAATTTATTAAAACTAAATCTCTGAAATCATGCTATTGATTATTTATAATACATAGTAAATTTTGGTCAATCCATAGAGAAAACTTGATATTATGATAGATATTATCTATTAAATATTTAGGTGAGGATAAAGACAAAAAAAGAAATGAAAGAGGAAAGAGACTTAAAACCTCTTCTAGATCTTACACAAACTCAAAATTAAAGAAACAAAATGAGACATAATAAAAATAAATTATAAATTTAGAAAGTAAGATAGGTGAAAACACCTCTGCTAGTAACCTAGCTACTAGTGGGGGTACTAAGATTGTGTTTGGGAGAAAACCCTATATTGTATTGACAACTATAGAAAATACACAATCAGTATATTAAAATCTGGTAAGTGTTAGAAGTCTCAATGAGTCCACCAGCATTCATAAAGAAAAAAATAAAATAAAACTAAACATGTGCATAAACTAAAACACCAATTGCGAAGCCTAGGATTGTGGACGTTGTTGCTATTGTACTCAACCCTCCTCTACCTATCACATAGTAGGGGAGTTCACAGCCACCTCTATTGTTACTATCAAGAGTGTATTACTTTGCTGTCACCATTGCCACCACCACCGTGCTCAACTCTTCTTATGCTTGACACATAGAATGGGAGTTTGCAGCCATTACTAATGTTGCCAATAGTACTTATGTGACCATTATGAGTGCTGCCACTATTGTGCTTGACTCCTCTATCTGTCATGTAGAACAAGAGTTTGTAGCCACTACTACTATCGTTGCCACTATTATTGTCGCCATCATGAATACTACCACCGTCATGCTCGACCTCTTTTCTACCTATCACATAGAATGGAACTCACTGCCACAGTCAATGTTGTCACTACCATCTTCATCATAGCTATCATTCTCTTGATTTCTCATTCCTCTATTTGTCTCCCTCATCCCTCTTCTCTACGAACCCTAATTTTTATCGATCGCCCCCTTTTTCTCTCTCTTCTCTCTCTCTTTAAAGAACCACCATCAAAATGGGCTGGTATGCAACATGATAGTGGGCCAATTGTAATGAATCTAATGATCAACTCATCAAATACTTAAAAATTACAAGGAATTCATTTAAAATTCAAACTACCCGTATTCTAATATTTTCTGCATGTAAATATAATTTCTTCATCTATTAGAATAACCACAATTACATAATATTTTTTTGATTTAATAGAATATGTACAGTATAAATATTTTTAATATGTAATTCAGTAAATAATTTTAACTCACATAAAGTATGTTTACATCGAATGCATGCTATCATTAAGACATTTAAGCCGTAATCATATAAAATATGCATATCCTATCATCTAATAATGAGGCTTTATCAATTATATATGAGAATTCATATTATCATGCTCCTTTAGACATTAATTATTTTAAATTAAAATATATTTCTTAATTGCATATATTTTGGAAAGGTAGATGCATAGCTTACCCATAAATTTCTATCATTAAGATGATTATGACCTTTGTTAATAAATATTTTCTAAACTTATGCTTCAAAGTAAAGGAATATTTATTTTCATTGTAAATTTTATTTATTATTTAATGGATTCTTAGATAAATTCTCACTATCATCATAGTGGACAAATTCTCACCATCATAGTGGACATACTATGAACAATATGAAGACCCAACATTTCAATGTAAAAGTTTTTATATATATTATCTATGAATCGCTACTTGACTATGTTTAAAAGGATACTTGTCAAATCATACTTGTGAACAAAGGGCTAAGTATATTGTCAATAAATGCTTCTACAACAGCAAGAGCATATCTTAGACTAACTTAGAATGAAAATTGATGAGAAAAGAATGTTTATATTAAGTTCTTCTTTTGAGTCATGAAGGAGGTTAAATTGAATGAAACTCTATGATTAAGTATTAAATTATATTTTTTCAAATGTTAAAACTCGAGATTGATTCAAATAAAAGAAGCAAGTATAATTTCTTAGATTGACTGAGAAGAAATTTAACATTAACGCATGAAAATATAAAAATTAAAGGAAAAATGATGTTTTAAGGTACTAATCTACACGTCTCATCTCAATTGACTTCACTAGGTTAACACTAAGTATACTAGAATTTGACATTCTTAAGGTATCAACTATAATTTCTTCCATTAAAAATTGTTTATTAACAGCAAGCTCATAACAAAAACTAAAGATAACCTAAGTTAAGTTAAGATAAATGCAAAGAAATTAAAGAGAATTCTTGAATGTTGGACAATGAAGTCAAATTTTAATGAACTATAATTTATAAATTGACTACTTGTGTAGGAATCTTCTATCAGTCAAAATCTTTAGACTTGTGAAAGCTTTCATTCCATGCCATGCATTTTTATTATTATTTTTAAACAACGCCAATGGAAATAGTTCTCTCAAATGTGTCATTAATTTCTTGTCTCAAATCTCAAGTCCTTGATTTCAAGTTTGTCCATAGGTGTGGAATGTTATAGTCCAAGTATCAAGTGTATCGTAATGTGTTATACTTTTTGTAGAGGTGTTGGTACATTCTTTCTTGGCAACAAGTCTCAAGTCTACTTTTTCGTGTATCCTTTCACAATTATTGATGCTTATTATTTGAGTGTTGACAGCTGTAAACTCTGCACTCTTCATTGTAGTTGTACCTATATTTATGCTTCACATTGGAAAGAAATCATCCAAAAAAGTATATCAAATGATTAATTATGATAATAAACTTATAATCTATTTTTTTTTCAAAAAACTATTGACCAGAAACTATTTTGATGTCTAACAGCAGTAGAAAGTTGTGATGTCCTAACAATTACATCCAAGTGGTCATACAAAAACTAATCGACGATTTTGGTCAAAGAAAACTAATGGTTTTTGAAAGGAACTCTTTGTTTAGTTTTCAAAATAAACAAGCTTTCTTGACATTTTACTATTGTCAAGAAGTGGGACATCAATACGTAACATAAAGATGAACAGAAGATGAACTTTTCTACACAAACTTGGTTTCAAATGTAGAGACCAGTTACAACTTTAACAAGGTAAAATCTGTTTTAAAAATGAGCTAGAAATTCCAGCCAGATAATTTTGTTAGGACCATTCATGCAGGGTTTGATATCTTACTAGTCCTGATTAATGTGCAAGGAAAAATGAAAGAAAATTGATGCTTGACACTTTCAGTGGTGAGCTGTTGCACTTCTAGTGTTGCCACTTGAATGTTTGTAACATTTTTTATTAAAAAAATATGCCTAGAAAAAGTGTCTGGTTCCTAGCCATTAGGTGGCATTTTAACTATGCTTACAATCATTGTCAATCAAAATAAAGGCTATAATATGGGAGAATCATTAGTCTCTAAAAAAAAATTAACAAATCTTTGAAGCTTCAATCCTAAGCCCACAAGTCCTCAATATATTTCATCCAAGTACAACTGAGCACTCCCTGCCATGATGCCCTTTTCCATTTATAAGGGCTTGCTTCTTTTCATTGTATTTCACTTTATCGAACCAGGTTGTTCATGAAAAGGCTGTGTGCCAAGGTTTTACAGTTTTTATGGTAGAGTAGATTAAATATGTTTAGATTTACAAAAGGAGACTGGGGGAGTGGAGAGGTTAATGTCCTTGGGATTGCATGAATTTTCTCCATAGTAGCTTCTTTCAGCACCAAAATTTGGACAGATGAGATTCACCCTTTGTCATACAGCCCCAACACCTAGCCTAGGGCCCCCCACATTTCCATATTCAGGATAATCACTTAAATCGGAAAAAATATGAATCTTGAAACTTCTCTTTGACTTTGTATTCTACATAAATTTACAGGAAATTGAAATGTGATTTCCTGTTCTTAATAGGGTAAGCTGGATATGCAGTAATGCCGCACTTGCCATCATAGCTCTTCACATTGCGTTCAATTCTAACATATCCTTCTTCTCCCCATCCTTGGCCCCAAGAATTCTTTACAATCCAGTAAGCTTTCCCATTTGATGGATCCATGTCATAACCGACTACAGTCACTGCATGGTCCAAGTCCATTCCACACGGGCCATTATATATTCCCTGCACAGAATATCATAACATGAAATTTGATGTCATTTAAACAATAAAATAATTTATCAGATATATTGGCAACACTTGTTCGAACATACATATGGCTTAGAAGAAAAGCTGAGAACATATTTTTACTCACAAAGCATATGCTAGTGTGTAATAATTATGGTTTTTTCTCCATTTAATGCACATGTTTCACAAGAAAAGCATTAAAAATTCTACAAATAATAATGAAAGTAACAATGACCAAATGAAATGGTCATTTTTCAGTAAAAATGAACATTTACGTAATGAAAAGGGCAAGCATGGAGGATGCCCTGGGAAATAATATATCTAGTTTCAATGGAAAGAATTTCCCTAAGAAATAGCTTGAGAGCAGCATCTGATTTTATCTTAAACTAATAAAATAAAAAGTGTTATCCAAGATATCAAGGCAAAGTATTCTTGATCTGATCTATGAACATGATGAAAAAAATTTTACGATCCAAGATGTTAAGAAATTAAGCAAGATTATCTTTGAAACAAAATTGTTAGTCATATTGATTCTATTAGAGATGTATATATTTTTCATATTAAGAAGAAAATAATTTTTACTTTCCCAAGATAGTAACTTAAAATTAAAAAGAGAATTTTAAATTTTAAAAATGGCATGAAGAAATTTTTTATATCTTATTCCTAAATGAAATCATTCCCAAATATGATGGCATGAATTTAATTAGAGATTTTTTCAGCTCTTTCCTATGCTTATATCTTTTCTAATGGTGAGAAATATACAATATTGTATTGATAATACGTTCATGATTGATTGAATGTGTTTCCTTTATATATATACATCTTTTGAACATACTCCAAGAATCACTCTCTAAGTACTAAGTTTTTGCTTGTCAACTAGATATGAATTAGAATCCTATACCATTTAAGATTATTTTTTAACTATCCATTGTCATTTCCATTGATAAAAAAAAACATTACCTTTTTTTGATCTAGTTTTTTTCTTATTGAATCATGCAGTTGATTGTCTTTTCATTCTTCATCATACATGCTCAAAAGGGAAACAATATCCAATTGAATACATAAACTAGGAATACATCCCATTGTAATTTTTTGTCACTCATGCCTAGATTTTATGTGTGTTTACAATTTCTCTAGTATATGTATACTGATTTATGGCCTTTCCTAACAAAATACTTGGGTATTTGACTTTCATAGTTTATATTAACATCTCAAATGAGCATCCTTAAGTGCCTTAGAAACTTATTTATTTAAAGAAACCATATGCAGTAGATATATTTTGTTGGATATTCATAAAATAAGGTAGATGATGCATTAGCCTCTTAGTTCAAAACCAGGTCACAAAAAATATGATTATAACTCCGTTAACTTGTTTTGATCCAGGCTGGACCTTTTATACCGTTGCATAAAGCTCATAAAATAGGACAAACTCTTATATTATAAATTTCCCAGTATGTTAATTTACTTGGAGTAAGTTAGATGCTTGCACGTGAAATTTTGAAAAAAAAACCCAGTAAACAAATATTATTGTGCCAAAAAAGAAATAATGGATTTCTTACCGATTTATAAAACTGGAAAGCTCTACTGTCAGATCTTATTATAACACTAATCGGTTGACTAGCAACTGCTTTCCTCAAGGCACCCTCGTTATACCTTGGTGTGAAGTAATATCCATCAATTGAGACAGCTTTTGCCTTGAATAATCACATGATTAAGAAAAACATTTAGTTCCTTGTTGTGATCAATTTTTATCAAGAAATAAATGATTTTGAGCAAGGAAATTATGAATAAGTTGAGGTAATATTACAGTGTTCCTGTTGCAGTTTGCCTTTGTTCCTTTATATGGATAGCGGCCTTCTGTATCAATTCCATTTTTTCTTATGTATGCAAAGGCAGTCTCTGGCCAACCTCCGTTGCACCCCCAGTTCTTGTTGTTACAGTCCACTAATTGTTGTTCAGATAGGTCTATCAGTTTGCCGGTAGCAATCTGGTTAATCCCTTCAATTGTTGCAATAGTTGAAAAGGCCCAACAGCTCCCTTGAATATTAACTCAGGAATAAGCAGGTGGCCATGAAATACTCGAACTAAATAAATTATGGTAGCTAGAAATAGAGAATAATTTGTACTAAATAACCTGCTATCTCGTTATATGAAAAAATAATGGCAATTATAAATTTCTAATAGGTGGTTTAGATGCTAATTTGAAGTTGATATTATTAAATCAAGAGTATTCTTCCTATTTTCTTAATTTTGTAATCTTAGATGCTGCAATAGATGAAACTAAATCTATGTGATGATCATTGGCCTTAGCTGATTAATCTAAACGGATAATTTTTCTCTGAATCCTATCTGAAATTTATTCAGTTGTTTCAGTCAAGCAAGTGCTTGATAGTGTAGCCCTTGAACTGACCGAAAACATCACAATGACGAACATAAAGGTATATGAATTCTTTGGATAATTGACAAAACATAGGAAAGAGAATACATCCCTGAGAAAATATGATAATGTGTGAAATGAGAATTGAAATAAATATTAAATAATAAATAATTATACTAACCACAATGGCCTTGGTGCTTGACTGAGCTAACTGCACCTTTGGCTCTCCAATCAACTGACTCTGGGAGATTTTCTCCATTCATGACCATGTATTGATCGCTAGAAGGAGGGAAGAAACGAGAAGTCATAGTCACATTGAATCTAGCACTGAGGTATATATTTCTAAACTCCTCACTCCTTAAATCTGCAAAATGGTTGAGGTCAACAATGTAGGAGTGATTATTTTGTATGTGATTGTGCTCCTCTATGAATCGGAGATTTTCCTTAAAGACCTGAAATCTATGTTCCTTCTCTATGATTTCATTGTAATATTTGTCATATCTAACGGCCCAATCTTCAAACAGCCATCTTATTTCCTCCATGCTCCTTTGAGACTCATTGTGATCTACAGAAGTATAGATGTCTGCTTCTGATTCAAAGGAGTTATAAAGAATTATCAATATAAGATATATGATCATTTGGAGACGACGTAAATCCATCATAAATGCAGATAGCTGCTATGAAGAAACTAAAGGAATGAAACAGAGAGAATGAATTAGTGAGAACTGAGAAGCAAACTAAATGCAATGGGTTTCTGGAGATGAATGTCAAAGATACTCAGTCCCGATATATATATAGCATTGTCATGAAAGCACGGAAAAGGATATGAAAAGACAAGGCGTAAGGAACAATGTGTAAAGTTTTGTTCGGAAATCAAATGTTTATTATAAGATCTCGAATTTTGTTCGAGAAATGTAGCCAAAGTATGTATATATGACAAATATTTAAATAATTTTCTAAAACAAAACAGAAATTATGCCATTTAGAAAATTGTTCTCCATTATTTATCAGATGCTGTAGGCTGGCTGATATAGAAAGTTGACATAAAATTTGTGTCCCTATCCATTGTTTCTGGACATTGTTTCTAGAATTTCACGTGTTTTAGAGTTGCATTTCCTTGATCAATGGCGATTGGGATGATGAAACTTTTGATTTGGAAAGCAATGATAACCATGGCTTTTTTATTTATATATTGAATGCAGACGTAGACTTGTGGGTGATTTTAATTTGATAACGTCGTTCAAATGCACAATTAAATTTTATTATTCACATGAAACGTGTAGGTCATATGAGCATTTCTTTTAGTAATGGATAAGAATCTGTGTTAATGTTTCCCTAAAAATTCCACAAACCTGTCCCATTTTATCTTTTTTTTACTTTTCTTCAGAAATGTGAAAAACTTCACAAATTTATGGCTATGGTTCCTAAATTTATGATATTTTGTTTGAACACAATTGTCAAAGTTTCTGAATCATAAAATAAGGATTTTTTATTCACTCATATTTTAAGCACGGGAAGAGTGCAGTTACACTAGAATATTTCCATGACAAACATTTAATGTGTTTGGGGGATTTCCAAATAAATATGACAAGTAAAGGCACTTTTTCAAGTTTTGCATTTTAGAATAGACAGAATTCTTTCACTTTTTTTGTTAAGGACCTGCATGTGTTTATTAACTGAGTCCAGCAGGAGCTCCTAGCACAACAACGCAGCATTCGACTCTTTTTCAGCTACGTTTAATCACTTTCTTTCTTGATATGAAATTGGGAATCTAAAGTGCATTGGCCTAAAATTTAGTCATGTAATTGAATTTTTTTCATACTTCTATTATCAATTTGATATATATTTTATTCAATCCATCAAATTAATAAAAAATATTATCCAGCTATAAATATACACATCATTATCACATGTCCCTTATTTTTGTTATTAGATTTAGCTTCTTTCGTAAAATCATTGTGCTAACATGATCACGATCGTAATCAAAATATGCTCAAATTATCTGAAATATTTTTAGAATATTTATTCATAAAATTAAGTTTTTCAGTCCCATCTAAGTGAAGTATTTTCTTTTTTTCTCTTCAGATCAATCAAGTCCTTATTTATAAAATAATATGCGACTGAAATGCGAATATACAGCCGTTAATATATAGCAAACCTTTAAATTATTAGATGTCCAACGATTTTTCATTTCTTAAAACATAACATAGTAAATTATAAGCTACATAGTTTCTCTTTGTAGTAGTCTTGAAATTTTGCTTTAGAAGAACTTGATGGTACACTATATATTGTTGCTGCATTTACTAATGTTTCATGAAAGGTATCTCCACCCACACAAGCTTTAATAAAATATCTATAATTTTTTAAATCATTTATAAAATCTGTACCACAATTCTTTTGAGAACTCAATGATAAGAATTACGTGAACTGGATATATTCTATTGTCATGGATCTAAGAAGTTGGAGGATGACAAGGAAAGAAGGGAATTAAAATGTTGTTGAAGGGCAATAGTGAGAGACCAAAACAAGGTGAACGAGGAAAGAGATTAATGAAAAATAAGTAATCGCTCCATAATGAAAATAGATGGCACCAGTATAAGGAAATTCTTATCATCTCTATTATCTTTTTTTGCGAAATGCCCACCAACAAAAATCTTATGAAAGTTATCGTTGAATCAAAATATCACCCGTCTATGAGAGTTACATGAAATGAACTGTTTTCTATAAGATCCACGACGATAAAATTTGGCAATCTCTTCCTGATATCCCTTTCAAGTAATGACCTTAGTTTCTTCACCTATCATTGAACATCTGAATTCATGGACTACAATATCGTACTACTTAAACCACACCCCAATTTAAATGTGTGATTGCGATCTCGCTGAACTCTTGTCAATAATTCACGTTGAAATGACTGTTTTGAACATTTCAACGTATGTTCCATTATTGATGAGAATACGAATTATCCTTACGATGTTCTGTACTCGTATAATGGCTCTTGGCGACTCATGTACTGTTAATCATATATTAGGCATCATACCGCGGTATTATCTTTCTTTATTCCAGCAGACTTCTTCAGGCAAACAAACTTATGGCCTTCCCTCCCGTCAATGAATGCTAGTTCTTCCTCTTTCATTCCAGAGCTGATATCCGGCGACCATGACAGGTCACAAGAAATTTCAAAGCCCGTCTTCTGTTGTCGGACTCTCCCGTCGAGGGCGATGTGGCCGATCGTCATTCCAATGGGGATTCACCGAAGAGCGCCATCCTGCAGTTCGATGGGAACCTCAGCTGGGATTACTCCTTTATTTCATTTAGAATATGGTAGAGGTTTCAGTTCTGTTACGCGATCTGTACTGGAATTTAAAAAAGTCACCATTTATGTAAGAGTTCGATGTTATTCATTGAAGTCGCCTAGGCAAGTAGCCTTCAGCACAGGTTAGTTTCACGTTGAGAACTTCAAAAATTACCGTATAAATCTCATTTTTTTTATTAGTGGTGATCACCAGCTAGGGTCGAGGTAGAGCCGAGATTCACCCATCCCAACCCAAGCCTGAAAATTTTCCGAAAATGGGCCTCAACTCTGGGCCCAGCCTGGACAGACCAAGCCCACCACAACGTAAGCAAGGTGTGGCCGTGATTGGTGCTGATGGACGAGGGAAAAGGTTCTTAGGATGGCGACCTTAAATGAGGTTTTCCGATGTGCCACATATGTGTAACAGTACGACACACGCGAAAATGTTATATGTAACTATCTATGATACACATCGTATGTACAATGCATGGTACACATGCAAAAATCTCACGTGTATGATACATTGTTGAAGTAAAAAATGTGAATATTTTCCAATAAATGTTTCGTCAGTTTTCAGATGACACCGTTTAAGCTGAATTTTCATTCCAGAACTACAATAAGGTAGAACTTTAAGAAGTTTAGTCGTGAAAACCGTACTTTGCTACATTGATTGAAAGAAACTACCAAATTCTTTAAATTTAAATTTGATGTGTCTTATGCGAGAAACTCTTTTGGACCTTCAAGTAAAGTTTTCGAAGCATTATTTAGTTTGCTCCGGTAAGTTTTCCTTCCAACGTTATGTTTGTAACTTAAAAAGGAATTCTTAGCTGTTAGGCTAATTTATGGTCTTTCTAGTGTAGCATACCGTTGCAGCAAGTTTGCTACTGGTCGAAGTCATAAGATTCAAATCTCTGTATTAATATTTTTCTTGGCATGTCTGGCTAACACGCCTAACTAAACACGCTTAGTTTCGTTCCATTCGTCTGTTTTATCTCATCCTAATAATTCCAACACTTAGGTTCTCTCGAATGTTTATACCCAAAATGACATAACTACACATTTAATTATTTACTAACAGGTCTTCGATGCCAAAATTTCTTTTACGGCGTGTCTTATCGATGCCCCAGACTGTCCAGTTTCTTTTATTTTCTAATGGTTTATGTTGCATCCTTTTCTCACGTTCTGCTGGACCATAACCCAGCCTAGGCTGAGGCCAAGCTTCATACAAAATGGACTGGGTCTGTATCACAACTCCCTTCCTTTTCCCTTGTTTTCCGGGAACAGTAGACTTTCTGACGTGTGCTCTCGTTTACATAATAACGAAAGGTACGCTTTTCTTTTTGACCAAATATTTGTCTATAATTTTAACGTATATTTATAATTTTAACGTATAATAAGGTTTTACCAAAAGATATGGGACCAAATAAAGAGAATTCTGGTGTATACGATTCCATGCTTTACAATCTGGTTAGCACTTATTGTAATCTCTTAATTCGTCTGCTACCCCGCCATTACGATCATGAAATGGCTCCATGTTTATTTTCAGTTTATTTGACCTACTTTAGGCCCACCCAAACAAGAAGTTAATGGCCTAGAAGCTTAAAAATAATTTTCATTAACCTTATCAAATGATTCATTCTTAAACTCTTCTAAAAAAAAATTTAATATATTTTTACGATTTCTGGAAAATATAAAACATAGATGGAACGTAATTTTGTTAATAATAAAGTCTAGAGATTTTCGAAAGTAATGGAATTTTTTCGTGGATTATGTTCAAAACAATGTTGTCTATAGATCAATTAAGCTAATATAACAAAGGCACTTCATTCCATCAAACAATGAAGGATGTCCGAGAAAAAGATGTTTCCGCATCTACATCAATTGTGTAAAATTATAAAGTTACTAAATTCTGATAAAGAACGTAAACAAGGAGGTGTATTTGAATGATATTCATGCACCCTACATAAATACTTTGTGTGAGAGAGGTCGTATTAGAGTAATCAACGACTTACTGTGTTGATCTCCTAAAGGTTTCGATTGAAGTCATTCACGCCATGGAGCTTAGGAGGTAGATTGTCAATGCAGAAACATTCTTGTGGATTTTGCCATCTGTAGTTTCAGCATGAGATTTATAATCATGTCAGAACTTTTTCCACAAACAACGTTCTTTCCCACTCTTTATCTTATTGGACTCTGTCCGCTGATTATTTTGATGCTGAGAGCTCGTGATCATATGCCATGAACACGACTATATGTTAAGTTTTAGCTCTTTAAAATAATCAAACCGATGAATTACTCAATTTTCTGTCTTATAAACACCATTTTCCAATTACTATTCATGATTCGTTATTGTAACTCTATAGCTGAATTAGACTAGATTGAATAGATATTATTTTCAAAAAAACTTTATGAACATACGTAAGAAAGTGAACCGAGTTCATTGTCACATTGATCCCCTTCTCTCTTTGGCTGGCCAGCAGAAACCGGCCAACTCACATTTTCTCCCATTTCTGGAGAATCCCTAGTTCAAGAGCTAAATAAAATATGCTCACCTTGGAAATTAAGGTAAAGACGAAATATGTTCACTACCTTCAGAGCATTCCAAGCAGCAGATAACAACGATGGTCACTTTCTGGATTGTCTTTCTTACAAACAATATAGGCATCCTAAGCTTACCTACATGATGCATTTTATCGAAGGGACGGAGCTCGGATCTCCCAACTCTCCACCGTCTGTTGAAAGGTGTAATGAATTAGTGCGACGAAAAGAACGATGGTGCATTTACGTCGAACATGCTGTCCACAGGCATCGGAAGCTGGAAGGAGTAGTTCACCGGTACATTCTTGAGTATGTATCCAGGTTGTTGACTGAAGTTATTCGAAGTGGTGATGTCCTGAACGCTCTGTTGTCGCTTTTTGAGGCGTTTGAAGAACTTCTGGGCGTGGCTGGCGATCTGGCTGGGCGTCCTCGACAAGACAAAATACTGCGATATGGACTTCCAGTCTCCTTTCCCGTGAAGATCCATCCCCAGAAGAAACAGCCTGTGGAAGGGAAAATCTGAATGTTACATATAGTGTCAGTCCTATAATCATTTTTGAACTAATAAAATGTGAGTACGAAAGATTAAGGTTCAGATCGCCATCAAGATTAAGAAACAGAATAGCTGGTGAATTAGAAATTCTGCGTGATTCAGAATTTCATAAATTAGACATTCATCTTCCACAGATTTACAGATCTTTGGCATCATTATATCTTTCGATGCATATTGGGAGCAGAGTCCGGTAGAAGAAATATGAAGAGAGATGAGCGGAGGATACAAGAATGAACAAAACAGGCGCATAAGAAGAAATAACGTTATTAGAAATATGAGCAGATACGTCAACAACCGAAACCGGGTCGTTCCTCCAATAAGCCATCTCCGATCTTATTTATATTCAACATGCAGACATAATCCTGTTGTTGCATGTATGCAGATTACATTAGATCGAGTTATAGAAATCAGATTTTCAGAAATCTCTTTGTCGAAGATGAGATCAATTAGATAACGAGAGAGGTGCAAAAGCCACAAGAAGAAAGAGTCGTATGAGTCATGGGTAACTAACAAGGATACTGATAGAGATGAAGGCACAAGCAAGAAAGATGAAGAACAGTAGGGAACAAGATAAAAGTCTCAGATATCGTTAGGGAGGAAGAAAATTCTTGATCAGAAACGCTAGAGGACAGGGAGTTTTTGGGGGGAAGGAGAACCTATGCTCCTCGTCAGACCAGGCTACGTTCTTTGTGCTGCGGCGATTGGGTAAAGTCTGCTTCAGGGATTCGATGAGAGCGGAGATGGACTCCGCGGTCGCAGCAGGAGACGGCAGTGTCCTTGGAAGAAAATGTAGCCACTGATGCTGCTGCTGCATCGCACTGGCCTGATACTGTATCAGGTAGCTATCGTAGTTCGGGACTGGAAGCAAGCCTGACATGACAGCTTTGTAATCCGCCAAGACCGCGTAGAACTGCGCCTCTAGCTGCTCAGGATTCGCCCCTGGGTTGGCTGCGGCCAACTTCTGATATAGAGTCGGTTCATCCAGGTCTACAAGAAGCTCGTGTTCCAGCATCCTCAGTACGTTGGCGAACACAACGTTGGTATCAGGAAAATTGTTACCCGCCATCTCCATTGATATAACGAAAAATCGTCAGAGATATACCAGACCGAAAGAGAGCCCGACGAGACAGAGACAGAGACAGAGATAGAGAGATTGCACCTTGAACGCTGTTTGTCCGAATCCTGTTGTAGTTCTCTCCTGCCTCTTCGTCTGAGTCTCTGCACTTCCTTTCTGTCTCTTTGACTGTACCTAATTAGATGATAGCTACCACTGTACTCTTATGTCCTCTAAACGGGAGAGCGTACTTCTATTTATACAATACAATTCCAAGTGAAAATTTCTAAAAAAGGGAAGATGGGATCCTCCGGTCTTAGAAGCCAATAGATGCATTGCATTAAGAAGCTTGCCTATAATCTTTTTATGAAATACCTAAAATGCCATCCATGTGTACCCGGTTCCCATCTGCGTATCAAAAGTATATTTTTCTCTGTGTGGTTTCCAGTATATTGAGAAACCGATGATAGAATTTTGAACAAAATGAGTTGTAAATAGATTTCAATGGTAGACCCTTATCATTGATCGTTATTCAATGTCAGAAGAGGATCTAAACGATCATCCTTCTGAGTCTAGTAAATCCAAAATATCTCCTGTATCAATTTAGCATTATTGAGCCAACAATACGTTAGTTCTATTTTAGCTATACTCTAGGATATCAACCATTCTCGAGAGACATGATTCTCTATAGTGTGCCTGATCATATACATTTGAGCTTGTCTTTGAAAGAATAGATCCTCCACATTTTGTTGTGTCGTTCAATATTTCAATAGTTTTGGGAGAGAAGGTGAGAAGCGAGTTCCAACTTCTTTGAATTTTCGGGAACTTGGCAATATCATTTAACGCAGATGAACAAAACTGTGAAGAAACCTGAAGACCGCGTAGATCGGGTCCCACTGTAGAGCAAGACGGAGGGAGGAGAAGTGGGGCCGAAACGGAAGGCCCGGCGCATGTCCATATACCTGGGAAGAGAGGAGAATTGAGAGAATTCCGAGAGTATAGAATGCGCGGGAATCCGACAAAGCACTATCTTTGTTTGATATGTCAGGAGGGAACAAGGGCCTCCACGAGGCGGAGCGGATCAATGGGAGATCCCCTCAAATCTTCATCCCGTGGAAACACGTTCCCGGCGGCAGGTGGCGGCGCGAGGCGCGGCATGCAGACCCCGCTCGAAGCCTCTGGCGCAGCCTCCTTGGGGGAGCAAAACGGTACTCGGCTAACGTCGGCATCCAGATGGGTACACTGTTTTTCTCCGCATTTCGACGTTACATGCCTTCCTGCGAATGTCTGGATAGATTCAGGCCAGTTGGAGGTTTAGGGGACCGCCCCGGGCAACGGAAAAAGAGAAGAGAACCGAGAGGAAGTGAGTTGCCGCGCTGGGAGAGGCTGCTCCCTATTCGGTGGAACGGAGTTTGTCAAGACCTGCACGTTACCCATTCGCGGAAAGGTTATAGAGAAATGAAACTGAGCGTCCAGCCCCTGTCAGGTGTAAGCCCAGCACACCCAAATAATTGCTCATTTTGGACTGCGTTAAAAGTTCCATTTTAGACACAAAACTGACCAGCTCCATGCTTTTTCAATATTTCGTACACGGGTATTTCTAGACATATCTCTCCATACATTATAATTCATAAACGACGTCAAATTACTTTCCCATCTAAGCCGAGATCAACTGATAATAAAATAGTCTCGTATTTACGGTGATGGTAACTTGGCATTAGATTATTCGAACATGCCTTCCTAGGTCATGTGATATCAAGGCCATAACAAGGCAAGGTGCAATTACAACAGCAGATATCATATAATGCCGAGCATCGCAGCTTACCTCGAGGGACATGAGGATGCATAAGGCCTCGAGATGGAGGGATGATATTAAGCATCCGTTAGTTTTAACTGGATAGTATGGATAAGGAGGATTAACATGGATTGAGACAAAGAATACACAGTGCTGACTTGGGCCCTTTACATCAGGGAAATCAATTATAATTGGAAGAGAGGGTATCTAAGTATACCTTGGCTTACTTTGTGGCATGGTTTGTACTTCATATTCCATATCAACACCAAGGTTAGACTTATATGGAATGAGAAACATAGAAAAATAAGTTTCAGATATCAATGGCACATCCTAGATGTACAGTAGAAGGTATGGAGCCCGGTATGTAATTATACTGTCGATCTCCTTGGACGATGGTGTATTCAATTTCCGAAGTTTAATACGAGGCTTTCATGCCAAAAACTCTCGCGTCAATACTATGTAACATAAGCATACATTTGAGCAGTGAGAAATATTCCGTTTTTCCTAGTGGCCATGTTCTTGGACAAATGACTCCATCATCTATAGGTGCTACTTAGTCAAACAGTCACAATTAATTTGTCAATTCGTTTGTCTTTCAGTCATTGGCCCTTGAGTGCCCAATTAGCCATCACTGATTTTCATTGAACAACAAAATTTTATCAATCTATGGCTTGGATTTCCTTACTGGTGTATCATTTTGATGTTGATAAGTTCTTTAACCATAACAAATACCTGGCAGGGACTAATGAAATACTAATGAAATAGATAGCTAGTTCATATGTGGTAAGATAATTTATAGGGAGATGACTCAGTAAATGCATGATGTACATGTTAGTCAATCACATGTGATATAAATCGTTTTTATCTAAAGTTTAATTTATTAGAAAACCAGATCACAATGTCAAGTAATTTTGAATATAAAGAAGCAAGACATTGATTCTTAAATATGCTCAACCCAGTTGTAGCATTAATCTTACATTGCCACATTAAAGTGGAAAAATTATGCATAAATGTATGTCTTCTTCTTGATCCGATTCTACTAAAAGACGAATGTATCTTCAACGTAGGGTCCAGTTCTTTTCGTATTCATCTTCTACTGAAATATGGATATGCGCTTCATTAAACTTTTTATGTGTTGGGAGTTGCTCTAGTAGACATTTTGTTTTGGAGCCTCATAGTCTACGAATATGTAAAAAGATTCAAGAGATCATGGCATTTGCTACGCTGAATTGTCGAAAGAGAAAACTTAATGTGGAGCTTTCAGAATGATTAACATTGATAAGACTAATTCATTTATCAGATGTGTGATACCAAGCTGGTATTGCCTATAAGCCATGCAACCACGTCATACATTCTATATCAACCTGACCTTGTTTAAAGCCAGGCATAATAACTTGGGAAAGTTTTTGTTAGAGACTTCCTTACCTACGCACTGCTTTTGAAATAAATTCATCATCATGATTAAAACTGAGAATTTTCAAACCATGAAAAAAAAGAAAGTACTCCGATGATAAAGATCATGACATGAAAATAAAATATGCTTGCTATTAAATGAGATTGTCCAGAACATTATAGATTGCTTTATTTTAGGAGAGGAAAATTGGACAGTTCCATGTTCACCAAAAATTAACATTGTACACGATTCACATAGCATTCTGGAAACCTAACTTTGCCTATTGGATATCGAAATATAAAGCAGCTGATCAAAAAACAAGTTCTTATCTTCTTATAAAAGGAATCTTACCTCTTGGCCTATCCCTATATTGTGAATGATATGTGTTTGAAGCCTGTGAATAATACTGATGTAAAACACGACTTCAAGGAACAAGAAAAACCTAAAATCTGTGACCCGAGTAGCCCAAAAATATTAACATGTTAATTATATATGGGTGAAGGCCCAAAACTATCTCAATCCCAATACTCAAATTAGGCCCAAAATAACATGATGATGAATAAGATTCATATTGCTAATCATTGTGCTAATCGTTGTTGGTTTATTTAAAGGCCAACACACTTTAAGATAAAGAAGGAACAATAATACATCATTTTTTTAGTTTATGATTTATTTATTGATTTTTAGATTCAAGCAACCCTTGTGGATTCAAGAGGCATCCTTTCTGATACTTCGAGTTTAAGGGTTGTCTAAAATAATCCTTGTGGGCTCAAGGATTAAAGAGCTCTTCTCTGGTGGATTCAAGACTCAATTTACATTTTTCCTTTACTTTCACTACATAAGAGACTAATAAAGTCCTTTAAATAATAATAGTATAAGACATCATTGTTTTCTAGGAGTTTTCAAGGAAATAAAACTTAACGTTACCATAAATAGAGAAAATCATGACGCTTATCATTCTTTCCACTTGCTCATTTTTTAAAACTGGCATCTACGAAAATCAAATTCAGTACTCTGAATAAATTTATCAGATGAAATTTAAATATTAAAACTAGATTAAAGTGGTGGTAACTTAGGTAATGTACCACTTTGGTGCTTACAGTTCAGTTTTGCTGTTTTGGGAAAAAAAATTCACAAAATATTTGAAAAAAGGGAAGAAACAGGTAAAACCATTATCAAGAGAAAGATCACGATTGACATGCAAGTCTTCCATCTCGATTAGATGGAAGGGATAGCTATGTTGGAAGCAAGGAAGAGGAGAAAGATAAAGGAGGAATTAGATCGTCCAAGTCAAGGGGATCCAGTATCCCTCGATACTATCAGACCATAAAGATGCCTAAGCATACTTTCCCCTCAAACTAGTTATAATATGATGTGGACTTATTTTATATTTGGATTTATATCTGCATGTTTTGTTCTGAAGTTAGTAAACCCATTATGGCTCACCCTCCTTGTGTAGTCTTAATCTCCATTAAAATCTCAACGAAATGCCTGTACGATTGAGGAAATATTTCCCTTCTTGGATTTTACCCAGATATCAATCGTACTAGTAAAACCTGTTTCTCTAGGTTTCTATTCTATCGAAACTATATAGCCTTTAACGCTATTATTCGCTCTTATAAGGGGTAACTGTAGAATTTTGACCAACCAGGAAGCAGCACCGCCCGTTGACGAGTGGTCTTACCTTGTTAGTGCCAAAAACCTTTTCGTGTCTCCTGAAACTTTTAGCGCAGTGAGAATGAAGAAGAGTCAATGGGCCACTTAAACCAAAAACCTGCAGACAGTGTGTGTTTCTATCCCGAAGGTTTTCCAGAATTACTTATGCTTACTGCCCTGAGTGTCTTGGCCTCCTATGCCGTGATATCTATCATCTCCTGTTTTCTAAAGTCAGCTTCAGGCATGCTACTTTTGGATGTCACCGGCTTGGGTAAGACCGAAGGCACAGCCCTCCTAATTGGCAATGTTAATCGAAAGAAGACCATTGATCATTTAAGTTTTCTACTTTAAAGAATTACGATTACGAACATGCGATCTGCTCACCGCACTCGTGGATCGGCGCATTGCTATTTTCGCAAACGTGGCTTCACGCCAGTTAAACGTGAAAAATGAAGTCCATTAAACGAAAAACACTGTGAGGTCGGATTAGGAATCATTTGGTATCATATTCCACCATTATTATTGGCATATTTATCCTACGGGAAAGAATCTGATGGCGGCTCAGTCATCGACGACGGTGTTGAGGCTGTGGTCTGGCTGAGTGGAATCCGACGTTGGTTTTGGATTTCGATCAACGGCCATTTTGTTCGCTATTCCTTTGTGTAGGACGAAGAATCTGGATTGATCTGCATCAGTGACGACTCTTTATGCAAATCAATGGTTTAGCTTATTAACGATACCAGCTTCGAAAGGACCCGAGTTTACTCGCGTTGGGGACACGTGAACGTACCATCAACGCAGGAAATTAGTGCCATAGTCATTCTTTCTGTTTCCCCGTTGCCTTCCTTCTATAGTTTTTGCTCTCATCTTGCAGCCCCCCGGGCAAGGAGATCAGATAGACTGCACCGGGGAAGTTCGACGTAGCGGACTACTTTAGATTAGAACAGACGAGTCTCCCTGGATTTCCCGAACCTCGAAAGAAATATGTCTTAAGGATGATCTCTCTCTGCCAATCACAGAGACGACAAATGGCCCAGCGTTTTACGTGTCTGAATTCACGGACGGGAAGAGTTATGGGTTATAATAAAATAATAGGCATGATGGGTTTGCTTAGAAGGGGAAAATACTGGCGTCAGTCAAACGTAGATTTTTACCCTGCGACTAAGAGTGCTTCAAGTGGCCATCTTAGTGAATAAAATGGACCCTTTATTGGAAACCGATGGCTACCGGAAGGCCCATGAAAACAAAGTTCCGAGGAGAAGGCCACGTACGGTAAAGGAAACGCAGAAGAAGAGGAAGAACAAGAAGAACAGGAACCAGAACAAGAAGAAGAAGAAGATCACTGGATGGGGGATATCTAGCAGGGCCTTGTGCAGTAGCACTTGCGCCAGAAGCCCCGGCAGTGGCCGCCGGGGAAGCCCTCCGAGTGGCAAACCAGAGCGCAGTTCCGGTCGTTGGTGCAGGTCCCCTTGAACCGGTGGCTCTGCGACTCGCACAGCCTCCCCTCAGCGCCACCAGGGACCTCTTCTGTTTTCATAAATGAGAAGCTGCTCAGTTTTGGAGACCCCTTCGGTTGAAAGAGACGGGCATAGAAATTTAGAGAGAGGGGGGGAGGAGGAGAGCGAGAGACAGACAGAGACAGAAGGAGGGGGAGAGAGGGAGAATGAGAGATAGAGAGAGAGACGGACAGACAGGCAGAGAGAGAAAGAGATTCTTACCACAGATCAGCACTAGCAGCACGACGAGGACAAGAAGGCGCAATGGAGGGGCTCCCATCCTGATCTTGACCGGGGGAAGAACGATGCCACCGAGGGAATGTATACGATCGGTGCAATTTATGGAACGCAGTGTCGCGTCCAGACGTCGGCGACCATGCAACACGAGGCTGCCATGCAGCACCAGAATCTCCCACGTGGTCTTTTCCGACCAAAAACCCTAATAGTTAATGTGAACCCCAGCGAATTCTAAGGGTAGATTCTATCTGTGGAGAAACACATCAGCATACTTTAACACATTTCATAGTTATTGTCGACCCAAAATAGTTCGTAGCTAAACTTTTCATCAAAATCTTTTTTAATTATATTTTGGATTCATTTATATTGTAGGCACAATTTGTTGTACTAAATGGACTAATTTTAGTATTATTTCATTAACTCATGTTGAAAGTGGTATATGAAATGCATAATATGAATGGTCATAGTATTTATTTCTCTCTCTCTTTCTCTAAAGCAGTGGCTTCAGTGCGTATCAATTTATCCCCCCCCCCCCCTTCTTTTAAAATTGTGATTTACCACTCCAATGAAGAGCACTATCCGCAACCCAAACTTCATGATGACGGTAAATAAAAATACTTGGGATCTCAAAAGACTCTCATTTTGGGCTCCTACAGTGTGTCGTCTTTGTAAACATTAGAGCCTTGATTACTTTAGATAAGTTTGTGATCTTCATCCATTTAGAGAAATAGAGGATTGAAGCCTCTCAACTCTTTCTAGACAGCCCTACACTAAAATAGGTTTAGACGGGTCGATGCCATCTTGCTACCATCAATTCTAGAAGCATATAGAAGCACACCTTGTTGACTCTTTTAAGCCCCTTGGACCCAAGTTGATGAATTGTGACATTACTAAAAATGTGTGTTTTTTCTCTTATCCTGAAGATTATTCATATTGCTTAACGGATTTTCTCTCCATGTGCTTTCACTTAGAACGACTATAGAGTTCATATGTGCTTATTTAAAGGGTCATCCATTGTAGGATACAATTTTCTTCCTTTTTCAAGGATTCTTGGCATATATTCTTCCCATAATCTGGAGGGAATTAAATACGGGATTTTATTTTATTTTGAAAATTACTACCTATGAGGCACCAATGCTAGTTGTTGGTTTTGTAAAAATGTCACTCGAGGATCAGCCAATCAAACTGCGGATTATTTCCAAATTCCACCTAGCTCGTGAATGAGCAAAGGCTGTTGACTATTTCCACATATGGAGAAGCTTTTGACTGGTAAATTTATGTTGATAATGTAGGGAACCCACTTGGTTTTTTTGAATAAGATTTTAGGCAGAAATATCTTAGATTATCTGATAATTGTTCAAGAACCTTCAGCTACGCCACTTCAATGGACAAAATGGGGGCACTCGTCGGAGGGGTCAAACACTAGCATAACTACCTTGGAAGACTCGTGAATTAGAACAAAGCCCCTGTTTTTCTGGATCGAGAAATGGGAAGAGGATATATTTCAACATTGACCAAAGGCCAGAGTTTTCTTAATTATAATTTTTTTGGTGGCGCCCTTGCGTGTAAAATGGTAAATTTTTATTTTTAGCTTTTATTTTTAGCCCTTGAGGGACCTTGAATGCAATTATTAGAAAAACCCATATCTTGATGGATTCGGAAATAAGATCAGGGTTCCCTTTTTCTTCTCCTTTTTACGTAGTCAACACAGAAAGAACGTTTTCCTAAATTAGGAGAAACGTTGAGTTCTTTTCTGGGTCTTTGACCAAACTCCTCGGCAAAAGTCATGCTGCGACCCCGCCCACAGAAATGGAAAGTTATCTTTAGCAGCTGTTAATTACGCCCTACCATCAAGGATTTAATTGTTAAAATGTATACTTAGAATTAAAAATTATGTGTTTACCCTTTCCGCTGGTTTACGATGTGCGGCCGCCGCAGTTTAGTCATCCACCGAGACTCTGATACTAGGATACGCTGCCTAAGCGGTGTGACTTGGCATATGTTTATTGGTGAACTGGTATTTCGCAGGATCCACAGAACAAGGCACTTTGTACCCAATCTCACCAGCTTCGTCGCCAGACGACCAAGCGCACTCCTGCCCTCTGATTGGTTCATTCTCCACCCGCTCGATTGACAAATCTCCTTGCATACGTAGAACTTTAACGCAAGATTCTACGCAGATCCCTCATTGGTTGAAAAACCAGGGCTGACGTACTCCAACCAGTAGAATCACCCCGTGGGGTGCGTGAGTACACAATTTGACGTATACTGATCTCTTCTGGGTAATTCCTTATCGCGTAGACAGAACCGGCTCTCCCCAGCCAGCTTCTCCACTCTTCCTCCTCTCTCTCTCTCTCTCTCTCTCTCTCTCTACCGACTCCCGCAGAAACCAGAGGCTGCCGCCATTATCCGGTCAAAACCACTGCCCCTCTCTCTCTGCTCCTCTCTCAGTTCGTAGCTGGTCGCTCGCTCGCTCGTCCATGGGAGTTGGGGTATAAACCCCCCAGGATCTTGGAGGTTGGGGCTTCTTGTCTCTGGACTCGATTTCTTCGATCTGCTTGCAATCCGTGCATTCAGGCCTCTTCCGGCGATGCTTGCGGGTGGCGTCATCTCGGCTCCCACTGCCACTTCGTCGCCGCTGTCGAGGGGGCGGGCTCCCGTCCTGTCCTCGCTTGCCTACTTCCCGCTCTGCCAGAGGGGATCTCTCTCGTTTGCCGGTGACAGGCGAGCGTCGCCGCTCTTCTGCCGCCGCGGGGCGGTAGTCCGGTCGCAAGCGGTGGCGATCGAGAAGGAAGTTCCGGAGAGCGAGCGCCCGGAGACGTTCCTCCGGGAGGCTGATGGTCCCTCCTCGGGAAATGCGCATCACTCTGCCGTTCGAGCGCGGTTCGAGAAGATGATTCGGGATACGCAGGACGCAGTGTGCGCAGCTGTGGAGGCGGCCGATGGAGGGGCCAAATTCAAGGAGGACGTATGGTCGAGGCCTGGCGGCGGCGGCGGCATCACCAGAGTGCTGCAGGATGGAGCGGTCTTTGAGAAGGCCGGGGTCAACGTATCGGTTGTCTATGGGGTGATGCCCCCAGAAGCCTACAGAGCTGCCAAGGGTGATGCGAACGCGAAGCCCGGCCCCATCCCATTCTTTGCCGCCGGCATTAGCTCGGTAAAGGACCTTTCTGACATATAATTATTTGGTTCTCTTTCCTAAGGATCCTTAGAGCCTTTTCCATCTTCTAATCCTGGAGTCAACGTATGATCTAAGTAAATATTTGGAATGGATACGTGCTTTTTTATTATAGCAGAAGCATCCAATTTCTAGACTACATCAGTAGTGATAACTGAAGTTATTGACTATTTTGCTAGTCTACTGTTAAGCTTTTAAAGTGATATTCTTGTATGCCCTTATCTTGGAGAAACCGTCGTTTCTCTCTCTAAATTCCCGATTTTTAGGACTGAGAATATAGATCAGAAGGAAATATCAAGGCCGGTTCCCTTTTACTACGCCATTGAATCAGCCAAGAGAAATTAAAAGTTGGCACCTATTCATTTCATATCAACAAATTAATATCCTGTGGTATTTATCTAGTACTTCACATCACGGCATCTTATAAGCCTCGTATAATTATTGTTATGATGATTGGAAAGTTATATCTGTCGAGCAACATCAGTTTCTAGTGTTGTTTTTGCTTTGTTGGGCCAGTTATCATACTCTATGACGCCCTACAGATATAACGTCAGCACAGTAATTTTGTTGTTGTTATTCCCATCTTGTAGGTCTTGCATCCAAAGAATCCATTCGCCCCAACTTTACATTTCAACTATCGTTATTTTGAGACTGATGCACCAAAAGGTACAGAAGCAGAAGGACCCTTTCTCTCACTACCATATTTCACTAATAGTTCCAGTTATTTCTTACCTGGTAACTGCTGAAGTGATAGGGTTCATAAATTAGATTTGATAAATGAGATAGAGGTGCCAACTTATGTCTTGCACTCACTAGAGCTTAATGATGCCATAAAAATTGGATTTTCATGGATGACGTTCCCTAGACCTCTTGACCAATCAAAGAATCCCTCTCTCATGTTATCATACTTATCTTCTTACCATCATATTTATAAGATATGATGTTCTTCTCAATACTCTCGTAATGCAGATACCCCTGGAGCCCCCAGGCAGTGGTGGTTTGGTGGTGGTACTGATTTTACTCCTGCCTACATTTTCGAGGAAGATGTAAAACATTTCCATTCGGTATGTCCAGTATAGCTTATAAATGTTCTGATGAAGGTTTTAATTCAACGAATGCATGCTATAATTAGCCTTCAACTATGTTTAGTCAGACATGACGAATTTAGACTCTTCTTATCTGAAAAGCTCCTCCATCTGAGTAGCATTCAATTTCATTCTTGTTTTGACTTTGTTTCTCTCCCCTAGTATTAAGAGGCAGGGAACTATCATCTTCCAGGACGTACCTTGTTTTATGTGTTTGTCTTCTCGTTAGGCTGTCATCCTCAATATTTCTAGAAAGTTTGCGGTGAGAAAATGGTCATAGATTTGTTCTCTGCCATGAAAAGAAAAATTGTTTGATCATCCACAATGTTATGAACCAAATCAGGATGAGCTTCTAAATCTGCAGAATCTGGTGCCTTGGTTTTTGTGGGCTCTAGCGCAGAATGATATGAAAATGTAGATAAATCCCATGAAGACGGAGCAGTATGACACTTAGAACTAAATGAGCTCGCAAGTTTTAATCCTCATCTCTTCTCAATTTCATGGGCGACAAATAAGCACAGCAATCTCTGAAATGACCAGTGCTGACTTTAAAGTGAAGGTTGAAATCATCTCAGTCTCTCTCTTCAAATTACCTAGTTAGGATGACGGCCATTATCTTATAATTATGTTCGTGAGTGGTTCAGAATAAGGTCCCATTAGGCCCATATTAGTTTCTCTGCGCTCTGCCCCTCTCCTCTTTCCTCTCTCTATGTAAACAGTTGAGGAGGGTGGCCACATAGGTAACCCTAGTTTCTGTATCCTTCTATTTTCTGACACTAGGCAATAGTGAAATGGAAAGCAGATATGACGCCTTATGCAATTCATTCAGAACCGGAAAGAAGAATTCTATCTGATAAATTTGTTGAAACCGAATTTCATTTGGCAAAGAGGATCTCGGCGATGATGATCAATTAAAACGATACAGGGAGGGTTTTGTCAAGCTGACTTTTTTTCTCTCTGGTTCAGGTCCAGAAGCAAGCATGCAACAAGTTCGATCCAAGTTTCTATCCCAGATTCAAGAAATGGTGTGATGATTATTTTCTTGTGACGGTATGATCCCCTCCCACCATTTTATCCACATTTCTCTGCAGATTTCTGCCTAGTGAGAGAGAGAGAGAGAGAGAGAGAATAAGATAGTGGTATACTCATGTTGAGCCTGCTGATTCAACCATCTCTCTACTTCTTTAATTATAATTTGAATAAATGGGTGTGATGATGTTGTGTTCTTGATCAAAACCTGATCGCTAAGCCCCCTTGCATTGCTACAAAGCATCAGCCAAAAGCATGGTCATCCTGTTTACAATCATCATCATCTCTCCTACTAATCTTCTCTGTCCCTGCAGCATCGGGGTGAGAGGCGGGGCCTCGGAGGAATATTCTTTGATGACCTCAACGACTACGACCAAGAGATGCTTCTGGCTTTCTCCACTGGTATTCTAAACAGCCTCAGATCACATGCCCAGATTTTTCCCTTTTTGCCTGTTAATATTCGATAAAATCATGGAATTCAATGATAATTCCGTACTGCCACTGCTTAATCATTAAACCCTCCTTTATATTATATTTCAAGCTAGCTTTCCCACTCATTATTATTTATTCATGCTGGAGAAGCGGGCACATTATGAAATTTCTCTTCCACCTTCCATCACCATCAATGGCTAATTTCTCTCTCTCTCTCTCTCTCTCTCTCTCTCTCTCTCTCTCTCTCTCTCTGCAGAGTGCGCGAGTTCTGTTATTCCAGCTTACATACCGATCATAGAACGCCGGAAGGACACCCCTTTCACTGATGAGCACAAGGCATGGCAGCAGCTGAGAAGGGGCCGCTACGTCGAGTTCAACTTGGTACACCTTAAAACTCAAAGGGGCTCTCTCTTTCTCTCTCTCTCTCTCTCTCTCTCTCTCTCGCTTCTGATTGGTCTGTGGTGCGGGTGGTTCAATGAAGGTGTACGACCGTGGGACGACATTCGGGTTGAAGACAGGGGGGCGGATCGAGAGCATCCTTGTTTCTCTCCCGTTGACTGCCCGATGGGAGTACGATCATGTGAGTCAAACAGATTGGCTTCATGAGTTGTTCCCGTGTAATTTGGTCAGCAGCTTTTGTTATATGAATGGAGGAGTGAATCCGATTTGCCGACCATCTTTTGCAGAAACCCGAGGAGGGGAGCGAGGAATGGAAGCTTCTTGATGCATGCATAAATCCCAAGGACTGGATTGATCTCCAATAGGGGTAAGAGGGGAGTTGGGGGCTGGGGGTCAACGCCAATACCTTCATTCTGTTGGTAGATTGGTCCCAGTTGTATTTTCTTCAATAAGTTCAAAGGTTAGAACCCGACTAGCAAAGTTCCCGCATTGACCTCAAGGTGATGTTGACATTATGGTGATATTTCTTACCCATGAAGTTGCTGTCCACATCATAAGATCCGTGTTTGCATACTTCATGTTGACTTTTGGTATCTGAACAGACAGACTGTTTGTTCTTTAAGAGTAGTCATTGGCTCCCCCGACATCGAGGTCAAAGTTGGCCGAAAACGCAGAAAATCATCGGCCATTAATGAAGTTGACTCGTCTTTATGATTCCATGTTCTGTTTTTGTGATGAGGAAAATGGCAATATTCTTCACCTGTATTACACAGTCTATGCTATTTTGGGGATTGCTTCGTTGCGAAGCGTTGACTTTTGACTTTGATACCTTATTATTATTAGTTCTGTGGAGCAACTTTATTGTCTTGTATTATTAATGAAAAAAATAATTTTTCATATTATCCTGCTGTATATATAGCCTTCGTACTTTTACTTTGGGGTAGTAAGCTTAGAGGTGTAGCCGAATAAGTGGGCCCCATTTTGGTGCCGTGAAACACGAAACGATACAGTCCAAGACATTGAGCGGTTTTGGCGGGAAGCATCGCCACATGGTCCTCAAGGACGGCGCCACTGCCACCTCATTGGGAAGGAAGATTCCTGAAGAAGATAAGGGTAAAATGGGGTTTCGCAGATAGATTCTTAGCCTCAGCTTTACCCCCGCCGTCCACTGCCAGCTGCCGCTTCGACTTTACTTTTCCGACACCGTCTTCTTCTTCTCCTCTTCCTCATTCTTCCCCCTTCTGAGCGTCTCTCTCTCTGCGTCGGCGCCATTGCTGCTCTAGCGGACTTCACCGGCACCGCTCGGTTGGGCACACGGCGGTGAATTCCTCGAGCTCACGGGGGCGGCGCCTCGTCGTCTTCCTCCGCCTTGTTTCTCTCTTTCTCTCTCTCCCTCTCTCTGTGTCTTGAGGGCGGTGGGGCGGATCGGCTGCTCTGCGACGGCAGCAGCTCCGCCGGTCATTATGTTCAGAGAGCGGGGAGAAGGCCACGGCGAGAAGAGAAAGGTGGAGGAAGGCGCCGGCGCGGGCGTTGACGGTCAGAAAATGCTCGTCCGGGTGGTGTGGCGCTGCGCCGACACGAAGCTCCTTCTGTCGTCGTTCTTCCTCCTGTTCGTCCTCTTCATCCTCTTCCCCCTCCTCCCGTTCCTCTCCGGCCTCCTCCCCGCCTCGGATATCCGCGCTTGTCTCTCCGGCTTATCCTCCACTGTTCTCCCCCTCCCTCCTCCCTCTCCGGTGATGATGGTGGTCGCCGCCGCCGCCGCCACCGGCGGTATTCCGAGCTCACCCTCGGTGACCGCCTCTTCTGCTGCTACTGCCGCCGCCGCCGCCGCTCCGCCGCGGGCGGCGGCGGTGGCGAACTACCACCCTGCGAAGGAGGAGGTGGCGGAGGTCCTGGCCGGCAGTAGCTCCTCGATCGCCGTGGTGAAGAGGACCTTCAACGCCGTCGGCAGCGCTGCCTACCTCTTCATCCAGATGGGAGCCTACAGGGGCGGCCCCAACACCTTCGCCGTCGTCGGCCTCGCCTCCAAGCCGCTCCACGTCTTCGCCAAGCCCACATTCCTCTGCGAGTGGCTCCCTCACGGCGGCACCACCGCCGCCGCCTCCGTCGCCGGCCGCGCGATCCTCCCCGACTGGGGCTACGGCCGCGTCTACACGGCCGTCGTCGTCAACTGCACCTTCCCGGCTGCGGCGGCGGTGGGTGCCGACGGCTCCGGCGGGCGGCTCGTGATCTCCGCCTCGACCGGCGGCGGCGGCGACCGCTCGGCGAACGCGACGGAGCGCATCGAGGCCCTGGTAGAGGCCCGCGGCGACGTGAACGCGGCGGCGCCGCCGTGGGCGGCACCGCCGCGACGCGAGTACCTCTACTGCGGGTCGCCGCTGTACGGGAACCTGAGCCCGCAGCGGGTGAGGGAGTGGCTCGCCTACCACGCGAGGCTCTTCGGCGGCCACCGGCGGGCGCACTTCGTCCTCTACGACGCGGGCGGAGTGCACGCCGGCGTGATGGAGGTGCTCCGGCCGTGGATGGAGAAGGGACTGGTGAGCCTCCACGATGTGCGGGAGCAGGAGCGCTTCGACGGGTACTACCATAACCAGTTCCTCGTCGTCAACGACTGCCTCCACCGCCACCGCTTCGCCGCCCGCTGGATCTTCTTCTTCGACCTGGACGAGTTCCTTCACGTCCCCCCGCCGGCGACGCTCCCCTCCCTGCTCACCGGCCTCTCCGGCGCCGCCCAGTTCACCATCGAGCAGATGCCCATGTCCGCCACCCTCTGCCTCTCCTCCGACGCCCCCAAGACCTCCAGGTACCTCAAAAAACTCCACCATCCCTCTCCCCTTTTACCTCTCCGAGCTTAATTTACTCTCTTTGAGCTGAGCTGAGCTAGTCTGATCTGAGATGGGTGGTGCAGGATGTGGGGGATGGAGAAGCTGGTGTACAGGGACGCGAAGAGGGGGGTGAGGAGGGACAGGAAGTACGCGGTGAGGCCGAGGGCCGCCATGGCCACCGGCGTGCACATGTCGCAAAACGTGGCAGGGGAGAGCCGGCACCGGATGGCCGGAGGGATCCGCTACTTCCACTACCACGGGACCATCGCCGAGCGGAGGGAACCGTGCAGGGAGTTCACCAACGCCTCAAGGGTCACCGTCGATGGCAACCCCTTCGTCCTCGATGGCACCCTCCGCGCCGTCGCCGCCGCCGTCAAGCGCTTCGAGCTCAAGTCCATCGGCCCCCGCCTCCGTCGCACCCCACAGTGACGCCGCCCTTTCTCTCTCTCTCGCTCTACAATTTTCCTACTGTACAGTAGCAGGTCCCCTGGGAATCTTTGATTTGTTATTATAACCTCACAACTATTAGATTTACTTGGATGCTCATACGGTATACTTTTGGATCGATTTGTCATGGAAAATAAATAAGGTAGATTGATATTTTATCCTCTCTCTCTCTCTCTCTTTCTACAATTTCCCACGGTACAGAAAGGGTCCTCTAGGAATGTTTTATTTGGTAGCATACCCTCAAAACTATCAAATTTACTTGACTGCCCGACACGGTACTTACACTTTTGCATAATTATGTGGGGGAAAATAAACCAAGTAGATTTATGGTCTCTCTCTCTCTCTCTCTCTCTCTCTCTCTCTCGCTCGCTGTGTAATGGAAGCGGATTAAATTGCTCCTCGGTTCAAACTTTTCTTTGGGAGAAATAATTCGAAGATTGGTGATTATTATTATGAAAGTTTTGTTAGTGTTCTTAGCTATACAGAATTGACCAGCTTCTGGGCCAACTAGTCTCAGAATGGAGCCCATTAGCCCTCATTCAATCGATTTGCCACGTGTATATATAGATTTGAAATATTTTTCAGGAGATTAAAAAATGTTGTTCCGTGGGCCCCACATCGATTTCTCTCCCTTCGGTGTTTTTGGGTACGGAGGGGTAGCCTCACGGGCTGAGCTACAAGCGGCTGACGGTCAGGTTACCCCGGGATCTCCGCCATCAACACCCGGCAGAGTTTAACGGGAGGTCAAAGGGCCCACGGTGGACTTTACCTTTCCGGGAAACTGACCGTTGAACTGTGTGTCAGTCGGCTGTCTGACTGCAGACAAAAAGTCTTGCATTCAAAATATTCTTAAAAAATCTACCACATAAAACATCTAACGGCCTGCAGATGCTGGAAAATAATAAATCAATAAATATTTAAGGCCTCATATTCGATCTCTCAAAATCCTGTTGGCATCAAATTATACTTTTTCATTTTAATATATTGGAAAAAATATTCAAAGGAATTCCTCTGTGGGGAATATTAAGATTATTACACTCAGCGTACTTTTTAAAAAAAATAAATTTTTTATTCACGCTTGTAAATAAGGTTTCTTAGACCTTGTGCACTTATTTTGCAGATATTGAGAAAAAATTTGGACCAGATTTTATTTTTCGGCATATTCTTGGAAGCCAAGACATCTTATTAATATTACAAATTAATTCGGTACTAAAATATTTTTTTTGTAACATTTTTTCAGTAATATATTTTACAAATTATTAAATATGCTGAATGACATACATCGAAACCTTGGTCAATAAGTTATTTTACTTAATATCTGTGCACCAAATATTATATCCATATGTAATTATATATTTCTTTACGAAATTTAACACCCATTGAAAATGTTTTATATTTATTTTTTATCCCTTGTGATCGATTAGATGGATCAGTCAAAGAGGATACTTACGATCTCGGTCACAAGAAAATTGAATAGTTGAAATAATCGAATAATTATTATAATTATTTTTTTTATTGGGCTGTGGATTTTTTGTTGAATAAAAAAACCTGGTTTAACCCATGCATTTTACTAATAAATTAATTAAAAATACATGTTATCTTAAAAAAAAAATCTGCTGAGCCATTTCAATCGCAGTTGTCTGAAGAAATTCGTTGATTTAAATAATGGAAATTCTATTTATTTTAATGGAAAATTAATTAATTGCCTGGGGATCTTTCTTTTCTTTTAATCCCACAGTATTTCGGGCCCGGCCCGTCAGCCCGCCCCAGCTCGGCTGGGGCGGGGGAGAGGGGTGCTCGGGCTTAGAAAAGGAGCCCCTTTGAATTCTCTCTTGGGTTTTAGGGTTTTCGCAGAGCTCCGAGAGAATCGCCCCGCGGCCAGGAGAAGAGGAAAAGATGGCGAAGTCTTTGAGGTCGAAGATGCAGAGGCGGCTGAGGACGCTGCGGCGTGATCTCGCACAGCCCTTCTACGACAAGAAGGAGACGTCCAAACTCGCCGCTCAACAGGCTGCCCTTGCCGCGCCGAAATTGCCCGTCCGCGTTCCCAAAAAGGGCGAAGATGAGGGGGTTGGGATGGGCTCCGAGGTTGTTGCTTCCCCGGCCACGGCTTCTACGAACACAATGGGTAAGCTGGAGTCTCTTTTCCTGGATTCTCGTCCCGTCGTTGTGGAGCGTGTCGTCTCTTTTTTCTTGTGGTAATTTCTGGTTGCGGTGAGTACGTCTGTTCGCGTGGGTTTATTCGATTACCAGCGAGGATTTAAGGGTTCCGCATATTCTCTCTGCTCTTTAGTAGATGCATGGACCTTCACCGTCCGACGACATGTGGTTAGCGCGTAATATATCCCTTTTTAAATCCTTTAATTTCGAGCCGTCTAGTTGCAGAAACTCTGATCTGTCGGTTGTAGGGTAAATTACTGAAAACTCGAACCATATCTTCGTTTCATGACTCTATCTCATTCTAACGTGTGTGATGAATTATTTGGGTTGGATATGATTCAGTGTAATTTTTTTTTAACAGGATGAGAGAAATTCCAGTCCTCCTGGATTCGATCCGTTTTCTTTTTAGATACTGATTGTATCCATATGATTCTTATTTCGCACCCGACCAATAATGCTGCCGCCTAGTGATCATTTACAAAGTGTCTCAATTGTCGTGAAAGGGATATTGATTATAATAACCCTATGAACCTTTTCTGAAGCATGCTCCGGTTAACTGTGCTATAGAGTGTCCATTAACTCCAGAGCATCTCAACTTTCTTGACGAGATATTCATTGTATCTATCTGAGTTTTGATTTTTAAAACCTACGCCATTAATCACTCAAAAAGAGTGATCAGTAACAGAGTATCTCAATTTTCTGATGGAGATATTGATTAAAAAGTTGCGCCGATAGTCATGCCACAGGTAGTCCATCAACAAAGCGTCCCAACTTTCTCCAAGAGGTTTTCGTTATGACTGTATAGCTTTTTTTTTTTTTGAAAACCTGCGCCAATAATCATCCTGCAGAGTAGTCATTGACAAAATACGTTGACGAGCATGTCTTCAGAATTGGGTTGATGCGCAAAGAAAATCATTAGTATTATGGTTTTTATTATTGCTATTATAATCACTTTTTTAGCATGTTTTCGTTAGTCTCTCCATAATATGGTCCCATTCTCATTGAAGAGTTCCTGTTTCTGTTTTGAGCAGATGTTGAGATGGCTGATGCGGGTAGTTCCAAGACGAGGATGTTCTTGAAGCCTGGGGGAGGCGTAGGGAAGAAGTCAAAGAAGAAGCAAAAGGGGAAGCGAGGGAAGGGGAAGTACAAGAGGAATCATCAGTATTAAATGTAAGTTATTAAGTGGGAAATTTTAATGTATATTCTTCATCAGTATACATTGTTACATTTTAATGTATACCACGTTCCTTGTGAAGCATACATTGTGGATTAATTATGCCCATGCGGGTATTTTAATTCACCTCATTGTGGATTAATTTACTGATTAATCATCTTGTGTGCAATTCTGTTTGGCGAATGGGTAACCTTCAATAAGGATGGCTCTACCCGAATTATTTTTTGCATACCTATTCCTTGAGATGCCTGATTTTTTTTTTTTTTGGGCGTAGTTTAGGGAATTTGAGGTTTAGAGGAGCTTTGGGTGATCATAGGAGCCTAGAGGGCGGTTGATAATTCAATGATTTTGAATGTTTTCAAACCCTAATCTGAAGAAAGCATTTGGGAAAGCACAGTAATCAATTGTTTGAGTATATTGGCATCAAGTACCTTAGATGCAATGATTTGGGCATATCTCTGTCACGATCATTTATTGAAATTAAAGGCATTGAAACCCTGATATGAAGAAAAAATTTAGAAAAAAAATTGGCAACCAATTGCGACTATTTTGAGATAAATTAGCTTCAGCCTCCTGATAAACAAGTTGTAGAGCATCTGTTTGTCGTGATAATTTATCATCTTTCAATCACATTTTGCAATTTTCTGATCCCCGAAGACCATAAAATTCCCAAGATTGATTCAATAACTTGATTTCGTTTTCTTCTTTTTTTTTGCAGGCCTGACGAGGGACTCTACGTAGTGTTGACTACAGGCTCATTTGCAGCATGACATTCTGAGGTCGATAATGCTTCAGTTTTCGTTCTTCTCCTGTTGGCAGTCCTTGCCCACGATTTTTTCATGTAATGGGTTAAAGAAAAACTGTTTCTTTGAAATACATATGTAGGGCGTTTTTCTTCTTTGTAACCTGTTCTTCTGCATTTATGCGGTGGTGAATTCATTCTCCTTTGCTTCTGAATGTGGGGGTAGCAGGATATTATTGCACGGCTTGAAAGGCGAAACATGGGCACGGGCTCTATTTATTATGATATCCGGTAGAGATACTTCTCCCCCTGGAAGCCTTGAACCTTGGCTCTTTCCGGCCAGTTGCCATATTTAGCCGAAGAATGAATGAAACAATTCCAAGAATAGTTAGAAACCAAAGATGAGCAGGATGAGTTCCTGCGATTTCAATGAGCTTTCCCCCAACTCCTCTGTCACTATTTGGGGTCAGCTATTTAGTGGGTTCTATATATACTTTATAAAGTTGATGTCTTTCTTTTTAGTACTATTTGGTTCTGGGCATTCATAGATATATATATATATATATATGCATATATACAAAGAAATAATTTCTTTTCAAGATTTCTAGGGCAAGCAGGTGTTATGTTACCACCATGTTCTTTCAAGTCCTCGCTTTTTTTTTTCTTCTTCTTCTACGATTTCTAGGGTCCTTGAGGAAGAGGAAGGATCACGCGAGTCAAGAAATGATCTGATCCTATATTTCATTACATGTTGCCAAGATGGTATCTTTATTGTGTAGTTCTTACGTATGCATGAACACCCTACTCCTCATCTTTTCAATGCTAGACAGATATAATTTCGTGAAACTGCAACTAATGGTGATCGCATCATGATTCAAAGTGCCACCAGACCCAACCTTTCTGTTTCAATAAAATCCGAATTGGGCTTTTCAGAGAGCAAGCATTAAGAATCGATGCCCAAGATGGGTACAGAGTTCTCATTTTTCAAGACCAAGGGGAGGAGGAGGGAGTCAAGTAGCTTAGTTCTTTAGAAGCAACATTGAGAAGAATCCGTCAGTACCTAAGATGCGGAATACACCTCGGTATTGAAACCAATCTCTTCACCACTTTCCTTGGTCCCGAAGCCCTTTGGCTTCCCAAAATAGATTCCTGTTGTACCACCATTATGTCAACTCCCTCGGCAACCTCCCCTCTTTAAAGTGGAAGAGTCAACTAGCTACAGTAAGCATTGAAACCCAGAACGTCAATGCGTCCTTCTTCAGAATACAGCAAAGAAAAATCATTAAAAAAATAATCATCCAGATGACTCGGAAAAACTGAGGTCCTTTTCATTATTGTAACATAGGACCATAAGAAGAACAAAAACCAATGAAAATGTGCATTAACAGAAAGAAGAGGGGGTTAGCCCAAGAAGAAAAATAATTTCTTTACCTGGGCAGAATTAGGGTCTCATGAACAGTATAACTGGAAGTAGTTACTTTCAAGCTACCAAGAGCAAACTCTTTAACGAATTTTTGAACGTTCTTCAACTGGTCTAAAAGCATATCCCAAATAATTTCTTCTTTAAAAGCGAAGGATTTCATCAAGTTCACCATTCTATTAAAAAAAAGTTGAAGAACAAAAGCCCAGCAATTAAGGTTGATCCTTTTGCCTTTCATATATTACATAAACTGACCAGAGTAAGTCTTTTAATGTTGAATCTTCCCAATTAGTAGTAATCTTCTCAAATCCTTGGATTGTACATTGCATGCCCATGGAATCCAATCAGAAAAAAGACAATGAGGGGGATGATAGATAAAACTAAGTGCAAAGTACTCTAGAGAACTGCCGTTTCACTGTTATGGGCACACCCATTCCATTCATCAGAGTTCTTCAGTTCTATATTGCCAAGCTTTCCCTCGCCTATTTTCCACTTTCATTTGACTTCTGAACTAAGCTCCCCCTTTTGTTTGACCCTTCTAGAATATATGATTACTAAACGTAAAGTTAATGTGAAGATCACAGGCATTATGCAATTCCAATTGAGTGGCCATTAACTCATGCACAGAAGCCTACAAGAAGAAGATGTTGACATTATGATTTAGTCTGCGGCTATTTCGAGCGTGCAGAAGAAAAATTCCCTTCCAATTGATGACGTGCATGTAAGAACATTTTCTGGTGAATAGAAGTGTAATGGCATTAGAGATAGAGGTTACCTGGGGAAAGACGGAAGCTGGTCTCAGATTGGCGAAGGCCCCAAGTCACGCCAGGAGCTGAAGCAGCCCGTCTCAGGCTTCAGACTTTTCTCATTCGAATCCCATTTGTACCTGGAGATTCCCCCGTGTTTTCGATGGGACCAGAGGAGAATAATGAGCAAGAAACGAAATCAAGTCCTCGAGGAAAACCCGAGATTGGGTACATTCGAGAGGGCCTGCAATAGGTTTGCAAGAGAGTGGGTCTCTCAGAGGCCAGTAAAGGAGGATAGACCCGAGTCTTCTCGTTGATCCTGCTGCAGGCAGCACATAAAGGAAAAAGCCAGACAGGCAATCCACACTGACCCTCCAATGGCGCCGAGAAGGACTGCGTCCGAATCCTTTGCGACGGAGAGGATCTCCTCTGGAAGCGGAACTCCGACCGCGTCCAGAGCCGTGCCGCCCATTTGGCACCTCTTGGTATCTGAACTCGATCCCTGGATCAGTTTCCGTCAGTTGGAATAAACACAATTTTTGGCAGAAATGGCAACAAAAGGAATCAGAGAGGTGATGAGAATGGCGACCACGACGATGGAACGAGTAAAGAAGGAACAGTTAGTTTCAGAGGAAGGGCCTCGCCTTCGTGAGAACCGACGAGATATAACACGTCTCTTGCGACCGAGACGACCTCCGGGCCGATGCCGTCTCCCGGGATGAGCGTAACGCTGTAACTCCGCGGAGACGGGGCGGCGGAGCAGTGGAAGCTCGCTGCCCCACGCCGACGCGGGAGGAGGTGAGAGAGGTGGCGTGGCACGGCGGCGGGAGTGAGACTTGAAACAAAAAACCCGAAAACTCTATGTTGTATCTTCGTCATTAGAAGGGATTATTTTTGCAGCCAGACTGAGAAACCTGTCTTTATTTCTTCGTTAATAATTAGTAGGATTAAATTAGGAGGTTACGACCTGAACGAGAAGACCCACAACACTTAATCAAAAGTGTTTGGCTTGCCTACCAGTGGTTATTGCTAGTATCCTACGCTTTTAGAATAATCCTAGGCGTTGCCTTACCTTCTCCATGATCCCTGCAATTGAAACTCTCTCGATTTAATTGTGGACATTTCTGAGGATAAAAAGATGGGAGGAGGAAAATAAAGGCTTCGAGTATATATTAAAGGAGGAATATAACAATTTATTTCTTATGCTAGGACGGTTGTAAGTCTTCACAAGTTAAGAGGATGATGGAGGAAAGTGATGCAATAAATTCATCATTCATGTATCTCTTGGGCCACAACTAGAGAGAAGCAGTAACATCGGACATAGTGCCTATGTGCTATTAGATGAGAGGGCTACAACTAGAGAGTAATACTACCCAAGGAGGTGACAAAAAGATAGAGTGAATCAACGGTTGGTATCTTTTATTATATTTTTTTAAGGATTTCTTTCATAGAAAGGTTTAGTAAAACCATCACAAAATTGTTCATGTCTTTTACACAGTCACTATGTAGCCATGCACGAGAATATGAAATTCAGAAACTATAAGAACTGATCCATATTTCCCAAAAAATATTTCTCAAGTGGGAGTAATTTATTTAGGTGATCTCTCTCCCTCCCTCCCTCCCTCTCCTCCCTCTCTCTCTCTGTCTTTCTCTCTGCCTAACATACATACACGGATACCAACACATAATAGCCATTCTCATTCTCATCTCTACCTTTGACATTTGGTTTAACATATTTTGTGTTGTCTTGCTTGATCGAAAAACCCTTTATTCTGATCCAACAAAGCTATTTGTTCAAATTTATTTTTATAACTAAAATTTTCAATGGGTTAATAGGAATAAAGTATCTTTCTTAAATAGAGTATCTTTAAATATTGTGCAAAAAGGAAACTAATAGATACAAATGTCCAATCAAGAAGGAATAGAACACAATATGATAGTTTAATTTTAGGTAGGTAGAAGATAATGAATCTTATCATGCCAATTAAACTTTAGAGGAATGAATCTCTCAATAAGGAAAAAAAAATTAAAACAAGTAAATGATTTATAATTTCTCTTTATCACATTTCATAGCCAACTCACTAGATGGGCTATTGACTGCCCTTATTTTCATTTCATTCCTTGAATTTTTTTATCAATGGGAAGACCTAATATTTTAATCACACATATCTCTTAATATATAATTGAAAGGAACTCAATAATTGGCCATTGGAGAGTGAATCCTTGGTAATATACCCTTTCTACCAAAGGGTATTGAAACCTTGTCTCATGAAGGCTAAGAAATAGCTCCCCAAATTGATCAATTGAAAGATGTTCAAACTCATCATCTCAACCAATTCTCAAGTGGTATCTTAAAGTTCCAACTTCATTTCTTGTCAACATATTTGGGGATCTTTTTTAGTTGTTCTACTTATTCAATAACACATATGAAGGAGCATTTTATTCCACAAGGCTTGATGTGGTGTTGATGGTATAGTTGGTACAATATGGGTACCCAAGGAGAAATGTAACAAGGATGTCGGCCACTTTATGCGAGATCCCTAGTGAGCTCTCAAGCTAATATGTTGAGGGCTCAAGTTCTCCAAAACGTGGAGGATCTAGACTTCTCCCAAGATCATCTTACATGGGGTTAGGGGTCCTTCTTTAAAGAAGGTCCCCTGGTGGGTCGTCCCTTTAATTTTGATGTGGGATTAAGGTTTGGATCCCACCCCTTTAAGATAATGGTCTCCCTCTGTTGACTGGTGTCAGGCTCGTGATGTCATCCTCTATTGTTGAGCCCTTGTATCGGGTGCCATGCTCTATGTTGGCACAATGTCTTGTGCGGGCGTCATGCTGCACGTGGGTGCCATGCCATGTGCAGGCACTGGGCTTTGTGTAGGCATCGTGCCGTGTGCGGGCACCGTGCACTGTGTAGACATTGTGTCACACATGGGTGTTGTGCTGCGCATGGTTGTCATGTCAGTTGTTGGTCCCATGTAACATTCTCCCCCTCTAGTGAAGTCCAGTGTCCTCGTCGGATGGTGTTGCTAGTAGGCCTAGATTAAATCCTCAAACTACCATAGGTCTACCTCTTTCTCTCATGTGGCAGCCTCCTGAGGTTGCTCTGCCCATTACACTAGATAAAATGTGTTGCGGTGGGCATGGTTGTGCCCTCCTTTGTTGATGACCTAGTGATCCAAAATGGCAGTGGCTGCTTAGTCATAGTGTGCTTGTACCATTAGAAGGGGGTGGTGGGGCCAGTTACATTTTGGGTCGTCCACATCTGCATTGTAAGCTTTTAAGGGAGACATGAAATAGTGGATGGATTGAGAGTCATGGAGGGAGTCGTAGACAGTATGCTAGGCGGCCTATGTAGGCAATGATTTGGAAAGGCCTATCATATTTGGGATCAATCTACTATGGCACTTCAGTCTCTACAGACTCTTGTGGGTAAGATATATGCGCAGTAGTACTCAGTCCCTGATGTCGTACTCAACCTCTTATCGGTGATGATCTACATTTTTTTTCATTCGTCAAGTAGCTCTCACAAGGGCTTTGTGGGCTTCCTCTAGTTGGTCATGACAGTTCTTAGCAAACCGATATGTGGCTGGTAGGTACCTCGGTCCTTATTGTTTCACTAATTTTGGAGGTGTCAATAGTTGCCTTCCTATGGCTAGTTCAAATAGAGTGTCCAATAGAGACACATTGTTGAATGTTATGGGCAAACTACGCCACATCCAAGAGCTCCACCTAATTGTCTTGCCTAGTGGTAATATAATGTCTCAAGTAATCTTCCAACATACCATTGACTCGCTTTGTCTATCCATCGGTCTGTGGATGAAATGTTATAGAGAAGCTTAGTTCAGTGCCCAAGAGTGTAAAGAGGGCTGACTAGAATCTTCTAGTGAAGTGGGGGTCGCGATCCAAAATAATGTCTTGTGTAAGGCCCTATAGCTTGACAATGTGTGTCAAGAATAAGCCAGCCACTTCTTCCATTTTGCATTCTGAGTTAGTTGGTATGAATGTGACATACTTAGAGAACTTGTCAACCACCACCAAGATGGTGTCTAGGTCCCCCACTCATGGTAGTCATGTGATGAAGTCCATTGATAGAGATTCCCACGGTCTTTTTGGGATAGGTAATGGCGCCAATGTTCTGGTTGGGCAATGCCACTCTATCTTGTCCTATTGACATATTAGGTAAGAGCAGACATATGTTTTCACATCCCACTCCATGTTTGGCCAATAATAACTAACTAATAAGAAGGCTAGTGTCCTCTATTACCTCGGGTGTCCAGCAAAGGGCACATCATGTGTCTCTTGGAATAGCCGATGCCGTAGTTGTCCCCCTTGTGGGACAAAGGGCCATCGGCCCTCTATATAAAGGATACCTTCCTCCATCTAGAATTGACATGTCTCACCAGACTCTATTTGTTGAATAAGTTGTTTGATGGTGGGGTCTGTATTGTGTGCTACTTGAATCTCATCCGAAAGATCCCCTATACTCGTCGATAATGCAATTGCTTCTACTATGGCTCCTTGACAGCTCAGTATATTAGTGACTATATTGGTCCATCTTAGTTTATATTTGAGTGTGAAATTGTATTCTGCTAAAAGATCTTGCCATCTTACTTATTTAGGTGATAATTTTTTTTGAGAGTTGAAAAAACTTGTTGCCACATTGTCGATGTAGATGGTAAAGTGTTGGTCAAGTAAGTAATGCCTCCACACCCACAAACAATGGACCAATGCTGTCATCTCCTTCTCATGCACCGAGTACCATTACTTTGTGTCATTTAGCTTTCTCTCCTTGAAAGCCACTAAGTGTCCATCCTACATCAACACCTCTCCAATGGCCATTTTTGAAGCATCCGTGTATACTTCAAATGATTTACTAAAGTTGGGAAGTTGTAAGATTAGCTCCTGCATGGTTATTGACTGATGGTTGTCAAAGGCCTTTTGACATTTATTCGATCATTTTCATCGCTGATCTTTCTTCAAAAGTTGTGTCAATGGGGCTGCTATATGAGAAAAACTCTTGATAAACTTACAATAATAATTAGCCAACCCTAAGAATGATCTTAACTCTGCCACTCCGTTTGGTTGAGGTCAATCTTTGATTGTTGACACCTTTTTGTGGTCCATTTGTACTTTCGCACCTCCAATCATATGAACTAGAAATTCTACTTCCGTCATCGCAAAGGTACATTTAGAAGGGTTCAAATATAGTTGATGACATTTTAATATCTCTAATATCTGACGTAAGTATACTAGGTGCTCTCTTAAATTGCAACTATATACTAAGATATTATCAAGGTAGACCACTATAAACTTGTCTATAAATAGACGAAAGATGTGGTTCATTAAAGCACAAAATATTATTAGAGCATTAGTCAACCCAAATGGCATGATTGTAAATTCATATGATCCATATCGTGTGACACATGTCGTTTTCTGTTCATCCCCCTCTTTGATGAGGACTTGATGATAGCCACTTTTCAAGTCTAATTTTGACAACATTCTTGCTGCTCCTAACCTATCGAACAAGTCTTCCGCATTAGGAACTAGATACTCATTCTTTATTGTAATTTTGTTCAAAGATCTAACAGAGTCTCAACATTTCATCTTTCTTTCATTGAAAGAGGACAGGGGCCTCAAATGGTGCGTGTGAGGGCCGTATATGTCCTACTTCTAATAGCACCTCTAATTGTTTCCTCAATTCTTCTAAATGGGCTGGCAGTATCTTGTATGAGGCTCTAGCCGATTGACGTTCTCTTGGTAACAATTCAATCATATGTTCTATATCTCATCTAGGTGATAATTTAGTAGGTAATTTATTTGACATGATGTCTTGATATTCGTTAAGTAAAGATAATACATGTGGATGTCCCACCTTCTGACCTTCTCCCTCAACTTCTTGTAGAGTAATTAGGAATGTGTTCACCTCATGCTGCAATTCATTTTTTAGCTACATAACTGAGATAGTTTGTGCTCCCTCTTGAGTAGTCCCTTATACAAAGTAGGAGTGTTTCCCTCTACATATTAATATCCCATTGTAGTGGAGGAATATTCTTGCTTTTGCTTTGGTCACAAAATTAGCCCCAACAATGACATCAAAATCATCCATCTGTAGCACGAAGAAGTCCAATTAGTCTTCCCATGTGCCCATCTGTGTCTTCACATGTTGGGCTAGTCCCACCGAGGTTTAGGCTTTAGAGTTGATAACCTTGATCTTGTTGTTAGTACAAACCAAGCTTAGCTCAAGGCAGTGGACTTCTTTCTCTAATAGAAACTTATGAGTGGCCCCTGAATCTACCAATACATTTGTTGGAGTAGAGTTGATAATTGCCTCTACAAAGAGTAGTTTCCTAGGAGCCTCCTATATGGCCTTCACTTGTACCACATTCAAAAGCTGAATGGTGTTTAGATGTGGTACCTCTTCAATTACTAGTGATAGCTGGTCCTGTGCCAAGACGGGATTGAGCTGAGCTCTCGTCATGCATCGATTGGCTCAGTCGGGACAGTCTGCACTTCAGTGAGGGCGCCCACATACGTTACACCCTGTCCACTTGAGTCCCTCAATTTGTAAAGGGGTTGCCTTGACCCGCTCCTATCTAGGCCAGTCCTCCTTGTCCCTAGTTGGCATTGCGACCTCGACCCCCTTGAGATGTGTCATTGCCATTTGACTATTGGCATCGATTATTTATTGGTCTGTCCGCCACCATCATTGCTCCTCAGATGTCGTGGACTCCTTGTCTACAAATTTCATTTTGGGCCAATGTTTAGAGTACTTCCATAAAATAGTGAAGCTTGTCTTCCTCATCCATCCGAGGTACTTCCAATACCAACATGGAGAATTTCTTCACATATCCTCAGATAGACTCGATGTGTTTAAGTTGCCTCATCGCGGTCTGAGTAGCTTGGCCTGAGTTTGTCAGGCAAAACTGATCTTGAATTTCTTGTGTGAATCCCTCCCAGTCAATGACTAGTGGCCTTGAGAAGTCTTCTATTCAAAGTCTCCACTAAGTCTTTGCGTACTTGGCAAAGAATAGGCTTCCCACAAATACTCTCTTCTTCGAAGGTAGTGTTGGAGTTGACGTACCTTTGGAGATCTCAAATGAAGTTCTCGATTAACAAGGTATCCCATTCTCCTGAGTAGGTCTTTGGCTCTGGGGCCTTGACTCGAGTTGAGCTAGGCTTTGCTTCTAAGTTAAAGGACCTCTAGAACTTACTTGTCAATTTCTCTATCCTTTTGGAAAATTCCTCCCATAATGCTGATATATCTTCCTTTTGGGATTCATAAGTAGTGGCCATAGCCCCTGTCTGATCATAGATCGACCGTATCTCCTTATTGAGTTTTGTTGAGAGTGCTTCAATTGCTATTCGGTCCTACTCCTCCCTTAGGCTCAATTGAGTTGCTTCTTCTTGCAGGCAACCTGATTCAATTTGCCATTGTTCCATCAGAGTCTCCATAGCATGAGCCATGGTCTCTTGTTGCTCTACTAATCGGGCAATTTTTTGCCCCTAGGTACCACTCATACCCAATCTACCCTTCGTCTCTATTATCTATGGCAAGTAAAAAAATAAAGAAGAGGATGTAGAGAATCCTAACCTTGCTTCATAATCTAGCTCTGATACCATTGTAACAAGGATGCCAGCCACTCTATACGAGATCCCTAGTGAGCTCCCGAGCTAACACACCAAGGGCTCAAGTTCTTCAAAATGTGGAGGATCTGGACTTCTCCCAAGATCATCTTACATGGGGTTGGGGGTCCTTCTTTAAAGAAGGTCCCCTGGTGGGTCCTTGACGTGACTCAGTCGTTGTATATTAAATCACGCAAATATAAAATTTATAAAACTAGAAAATACGAATTTTCGGATATTTAGAAGTATTTCTAAATAAATATATCAATTATAATTCAATAAAAATTCCAAAAATAGTGGTAATTTTCTAGGTCGATCACAGGGATGTAATATAATATCTGGTAATTATTCAGAATTTTTCTAAATGAATACAATTTTCTTACGAATTTTATACTAGGAAATAAAAAGGAAATATATTTAAAATTCCGCCCGGCGAAATTCGTATTTAAATATATTTAAATATATTTAAATATATTTAAATATATTTAAAATCCTTTTTTCTCACGAAAAAAGGAAATAAGGGTGCAGATGTCAGGATGACGTCAGCGCCCGGCGAACGCGAATCAGGCGGAAACAGAGTTCCGCCCGGCAATTCTTATGTAAGCGATTACAGACGACTTAATTAATCAAATTAAGATCTGTAAAAGCCGGAAGAATCGTAATTGAACGAAGTATAGTTTGGTAAATTAAAATCACACAAAGTATCACTAAATAAAGCGTAAATTAAATTGAAAGCAGGAAAACAGAGTTCCGGCGTCGCGACGGCGATGCGTCGGCGATGCACCGGAATCCTGAGCATTCGGGAGGATCGTCGTGCAGTGTCCACGGCCTCGAAGGCTCTCCTTGGACAAAGACGACGTGGGCAATCTCTAGATCTTCTTGCGAAGTCTAGAGATCAATGAAGTGGGTCGTCGAGTCGTCTCCGGCGGCTGTCACCCGGCGGAGCGGAAAAACGGCGACTTTGCGGCTCTCCGGCGGCTGTCACCCGACGGAGAGGAGCTGGATGGAGGTGGGGCGCGTGTTAGGGAGCTTCATCCTCAGGTCCGCGCAGCAAGAGGAGGCTCTTCATCGCATCTGGTACGCTCTCAGGAGGTGGCGACTGGTCTCCCGGCGGATCGTCCTCTTCCCGACGACGGCTTGTTCGTCGATCAATCGGAGATGATTTACTCGATGGATTGCGATCCTTTTACTGCGAATCGTTCAGAAATTTTAGTAGCAATGCTCCGCGAATCGCGTTGACGAGATTTTCACCGATGATTCAGCGATTCCGGTTGCTTAATCCTTCACCGGCGATCTGCAGGAAAGTCGCGATAATCAGTTAAAAATATATGAATTTTGACTCTGGGAGGATTCGAACCCGCGGCGGTCGCCCGCCCCTTACAAGGTGGATTTAGTCCCACATTGGTTGTGCGCGGATTATTCGGGCGAATATATAGCAAAGTCCTCTCGCGTGTACGATCACTCCTTGCCCCTCAGCCGGCTGACCACCGGTGACGTGGAAGGGGAGTGGCGCACACGTGCCCCTATCGATCCAAGCATGCCGCTCGAGTCCCCTGCTCGCGGCTACTCCCCGACTGCGCTTCCGACCCGCTTGCGGGCCCGGCTGGCCGGCGGATTCTCCCATTTTGCAATATTTTTATTTTTATTTCTTGTTCTTCATTTATCTCAAAACTAAGACTGTAAAAATCGTATAAAATCACATAATTACCCAAAAATTCACGTTAATCAACTGAAAACCACTTTTCATGCTTTAACACAAATATAAGTCTATTTATCATGAGTTAAGGCTAAAACTATATTATTTACTAATTATTAACTCATGATAATGAAGACTTATCAGTCCTCCCTTTAATTCTGATGTGGGATTAAGGTTTGGATCCCACCCCTTTAAGGTAATGGTCTTCCTTTGTTGGCTAGTGTTAAGCTTGTGATGTCATCCTCTATTGTTGAGCCCTTATATTGGGTGCTGTGCTTTGTGTCAGTGCCATGCCACACGTGGGTGCCATGCCGTGTGTGGGGGCCATGCCGTGCGTGGGTGCCATTCCGTGTGCGGGTGCTGTGTAACAAGAAACCTTGAGAGTATAATGGATTTGTGATTAGTTGGAATGATAAAATCTTGGTGCCACATGCAATTATTTTATTTTTGTACTTCATTTTTACTATCAAATAATTCTCCACTCTGAATTACATATTTTGATATCCATATAGGATACTCAATTCTTCTAATATTCAAGGTCTATAGTACTTATTCACTCCAAAGAAAGGCAAGTCATGAGATTCATGAATGCAAATACTTAAAAATATAAAGCTTGCACTTGGTCACTTGTTGGGAAAATTGATCCAAAGCTTCATCTTCTCAATCACCATAGATAATATAGTATAAATATAATTCACAAACCTAATAACTTTTAAGTATCACTAAAGTTCTAATTATCTTTCATCTGTTTTAGTCGGACAGCATATAAGATATAAACAAGAGACTATAGACAAAGTACATTGACACCAAAAATCCAATAATAGCATCAAGCCCATTAAAGATGAATAGACCATAGCTAAGTAGGTGCCCATTCAAAATCTTAAAGTGTTGTAACCCAAGTTTGATGTAGTGTGTAGAAACTTCCATGGAGCCCACAATAGATAAGAGAGAGAGCAGGCGGTGAGCAAGCAAGCAAGAGAGAGAGAGAGAGAGAGAGAGAGAAATTGGTATGGAGAATGAGAATAATGGAAGGCAACTCTAGCTTGTGTCACATTATGAGGATAATGAGGGAAATGTAGAATTGGCAGAAGAATTTGACGAGATCTGATGTCCATCTGCCCCTTGATGTTAATCTTCCTCTAATGTGGTTGCTTTCGACCAATTTGGGTTACTCTCTCTCTCTCTCTCTTATTACATTTAATAGATATGATTCAAACATTTTAGTTGTCGCATCTACCTTCATTTTTGGATGATCATTTGTTGTCTTGACCGGGTTAGTTCTCTATTGGACTATCTAGGTAAGAGTGAGACGTATAAGTAATTCGTAAGGCAAATTTAAAGAATGATTATCAGGAATATTGCATTGTAATTAGAATGTACCTGCGAGAATTTATCACTTCTTAGTTTCTTCCACTGGAGCAAGGGACATAGAGCACTCATCTACACATTTCTTTATGGTTTGCAATTCAAGAACGTATGCAGAAATTGAGCTTTTTACATATGGAAAGTCTCTTGTTTGTATTGCTGCGTAAATGTCATTAGGGAGATATAGCATCATAGAGTAATACATCCTAACTAGATTCTCCTCAGTCATTCCAAGGCGATCCTAGATAGAAGGATTGACCACTTTGATTGTCTCCATATGATTTAGGCAATTCTTCTTTACTTAACAGACGAGGTTGGAAACAATATCACGAATCATAATTATAGGCATAAAAAATTAGGAAATAATCGATGAACTGTTGTCATCGAAATGTCTTCCTCTTTCAGATGATTACCTTAGGAAATATATTTCACGTAATAGTATGCGATGGAGAACTATGATTTATTTGTTGTTCTAGGTCAAATTAATGTCTAGTATTATCTTACAGTCACTACTCTCTTAAAAATAATAACCATATTTGAATGCTGCTATCTTATTGGACGATTCTTTTTCAAGGTTACTAGGCATGGAAATAATAGCCTTCAAATATCGTCAGTGCTATTGGGAGGCTATGCATAGCGTGCTTTGGACACATGGCAACATCATTTGATTCATTAAAAGATCGATTCTATTGGTCACACAGAAAGAATAATGTCATATTATGTTCATTAATCATGAAGAAAGGTTAAAGAATATCTATACTCATTTCCTTGAAGGTAGATTAAGAGAACTCCAGCTACATGCCAATGGGGCATCTCCTTTGTATCATGTTTTGTAGGAAACTGTAGGTAGTGACCTGTGATATTCCTCCTGCAATATCAATTATTTCTATTGATTGCCGGTTGCTCATTTCAGCATGTAACCAAGCTCTAAATGTGACCTCCATTATAAATAATTCACTGGCTTTCGAGAACAGTAGTGGAGTACCTGCGCTGATCCTCTATTTCCAAACAAAGAAAAGATGTGTGATTTTTAGCTGACCATACCTCAAAATAATCAGAAATAGATCATCAAATATTGATGACATATATTATGATTCTTTTGATAATAAGAGAAAGAAGTCCACTTACCATTTTATGAACCTTTATTTCTTGGTTTTCTTTTATTAATCTCTTGATCCTTGAGAGTGGGAGCACCTGCTTCTTCATGACTGAAACGCAAATTAGAAAGGATACAACTGATGGATCAATGGCCAATGATAATTAGGTTTACAAGACTCTGTCCAATTTTAATTATTTTACTAATATATAGATGTCTACAGATATATATGTACATTTATCTATAGAAAGAGGGACATATCACTTCCTACGAATTTTCCCACTAATAGCTAGTCATTACACCAACTAGTTAATGAACATGCCTAAGTATATGATGAAAAGAGTGTACACACATACATGCATTAAAATTCTGGAAATAAATGATGGTAGTCCATAATAGGTAAATATCACTTGCCTGCTGGACTGTTTAGGTCATGTAACTGGTGCTCCCAAAAGAATGGTAAGTAGATCCTCATTATCTCCATAAGCTGCAGGTCGTAGGCTTCACCGTTCATCCATTCCATCTGTTTAAACAAAAGAACATAAGATTATAAAAAATATGATATAATTTACTATTACTCCTTTGATTCCTCATCTAGGGGTTTCTCTCCAATCCTACAAGAGTGATTGCGAAGGTTTCATGTTCTCTAACCTCAGGCACAAAGGTCGGAAGAATGATCTGCACATCTGAAGGTTATAAAAGCACAAAGTTGATCTTGGTCTAGATCTCCTAATCTGCTGCAGAAGGTGAGGATGGAAAGATTTGATTCAAGATGTCCATGCTTTCTCTTTCAATATCTTCATTTTACTATCTCTTCGTTCGTTCCCACCCTTCATTTGTCTTTTGTTGCGTCCAATCGTCGCAGGAGAGTGCTTAGCCTTGGCACGTGGATTAAGGATGGAGAGTAAGAAAAGGTAGATAGATCATATCTTTCCATGATTTAACAATGTGACGGCATTGGAAATAGACAAAAAAGGTAATCTGAGGATAGATTCCACATCCTTTCCTTTTCTAACTGGTTGCATGTCTGAAATTTGCTTGAATTCATAATCAAACTCCATCTCTCTCTCGTCATAAATCCCTAATTGGGTGAAGAAATATATATTCTGATAGACTTAGAACATATCATTACTATATTTAACGAGAAGGAAATCTCTCCCTGTACATGCTAATCTAATGAAAATGGGGGAGTAATCTAAGTTTGCCCAAAATGTTTAAAATCAAAGGCAATATCTTCTCTATAAATTTCATCCCATTAATCTAATAAGATAAACTTTTTTCCTTGATTTTTTATTGAAAGTATGAAAATAAGTTATTCCTATTGTAGACTTCTACATATCTTTACTTTCTCTTTGAAAAGGGACAAAATTAACAATATGTCAACAATGGTCCTTCAATGTTTTCCATTTTAACATAATTTTTTTTCTTACTCTTGAAACTAATGCCAACATAGTCAAATAATTTCTTAGATTGGTATTTCTTAATGCGACATATCTAAACTATGAATAAAATGAATTCAGAGGAATGTTTCATGAGAATTACATTTATAAAGTTAAAAAAATTCCAGATAGAGAAGAGTGTATTGTTGCGATACTAGATGTAACAAGAAAAAAATGCGAGTTTTCTAGCTATGTTGAAAGTGTGAAAGCAAAAGAGCTTTTAAGAACAAGAAATATCACAAATGTCAAATTGAAATTTCATAATTATGTTCAGTAGGATCTACTTTAATGTTTGAATTACTTCCTAGGAATTTAATTAGGTTACCATCTCTACAACAAAACTAGTTTCCATAGATTATTTAAAACATTTAATAGATGCAAGCCAAACTTCATAATAAATTTAATTATGATAAAAACATAAAATAAGATACAATTGTATCATTTTTGCAAACTCTGATGTGTACTTAGACATCATAATTAGGTTATCATTCTTGCAAACAAGCCAGACTTCATGTAAAGAAATGTTCAGCATTGTGGACTCTTGGTGAATATGTGGTTTAATATGTTTTTATGAAAGGATTTCATTTTATTGAAGAAAGTTACCCATCATGAGATTTTCAGATATTGAATACATTATAAAATGTAAATTGATGTTCAATACACTATTATTGAAGGTTAAAACTTTTGAAAAAAGGGAGGAGAATGCTGTTGAACATTTTTTTTCACTTGTAAATTTTTCTAGATTATTGCCTTAAATAAAAATTAATAAACTGAAATCCTTAAAAACTAATAAAGAATAGTATAGTAAGAGGATTCAATCATCATCAAACTAGTTTGTAGACTGAAGATAATTCCTTGGATTGATATTTTTTATACCTGTTTCACCAACAAGGGTGAAAATCCAATCCACATTGTAAAATAAATTTGATTTTCATGTAAATCAACTTAATTCAATTGATTTACCATGAATTATAATCAAAACATTCAAAATGTTGTGAATTAAATATTTTAAGCCAATAAAATAAGATGATCTAAGGATTAAAACTCTTTTCTCATGTGTCATATGATAGCCATCAGAAAATCCAACGATTAAAACTTTTAATGTATATATAATTTAATCTACAAATGTTATAGTTTTTAGCAAATTTTTAGTTTAGGTTAATATTTTGAATCATGTCATCAATAAAATCAAGATTCTAGACAATGTTATGAGATATTTTTGTCCATTTCAAATGAGATTTGAATTATTCAGATTATGATAAAATATTTTCATGCAAACCTTAGTGATGATTATTAATCATAGTAATATAACTCCAAAAACATTTTCTGCACTTCATCATGATTTTAAACTTGTTGAGGCAAGTGGCCAATGTCAATCAAGAGTCAATGGATTTTTTTTACTATCATAGAATAAGGATATTGGTTCTCATTATTTTGATGTGAAAAAATTGATACATAGATATAAGTATGGAAAATGTCAAAAGGCAATAATATATTAATCAAGATTTAAATTTTTAGTTCTATTTTTTAAATTATTTTTTCTATTTAAAATTTTAGTTCTATTTTTTAGTTTTTTTTTTCTATGTATAAAATGAGAAAAATAGATGTCAAAAGTCATTTGAGTAAAATTACTTTTGCCATTTTTAAGTAAAACAATGGTAAAAAGAAAATGAGACAAAAGGTTTGTAGACCCATGTGTTGACCCACTATAAAAGCATATTGACTTACTTTTATAATTGTGTCACCCACTATGGGTTGACCCATTTGTGATTAGAGGATATTATATATTGACTCATAAATATAACTTAGCACATGACATTTGGCAAGTACAAATAGTCAAGTAACACTTGGAAAAGTCAATCAACATAACAAGAGACATCACTATTGACTGGACAAGTAAGATGTAACAATCACAAGAGAGATGGACAAGTGATAAATAAATAACATGGGACAATCAAACAATAAAAAATCAATGCTAAAAATGTTTAAATCGAGACAACACGTAGCATCACTCAGTGCCATATGCCAATATCATACTCAAAGTCAAAAGGTTGTGTGATATGTGCACATGACTAGTGGTGATCATTTGAGGCAAGATTAAAGTGCAAAACATCAAAATAAGGATCACACATGGCATTGGGTAATGGAATTTGAAATTTTCTAGAAAGACATGGAAACATTAAAATCCTCAAGGCATACATGGCAAAATTACTAACCACTCATTAGTTATTCTGTAGATAGAAAAAAGAAAATGTAATGACTTGTGATAGGTGTATCTAATGAGGATAGAGGATCCTACCATGTTAGAAGATCCAAAAAAGGCAAACTATCATGGGCGGACCTGTCATAAATCATGATGCATTGCAAAATCACAACATGTAAGAAGATAACATGCTAACATGTTTTGCCTGATCAAAAGCTAGTAAGTTGTGAATTTGGACCTATTTGACTGCAAAATTGACTGTGTTAATAACAAAAAATCTTTGAATGATCAAACACTAATTTGAATTTCAATGGTTGGGATTTTGGGCTCTATAAAAGTTCTTCAAATGAACTTCCAATAGTGTCTCAATCTTATAAAATGTCATGTATTTTGTCATCAAAATTTTCTTGAGAATATTTTAGTGTCAGTCTCTCAAATAAAGAATGCTCAAAAGTTAGAGGATTTGGAAAAACCAAAGGATCATGATGTATCAAAAGATGTTGAGCTGACACATCACACTTTAGAAGATAGCATACTAACACATCTGACCTAACCAAAACTGGTCAAGTCATTGATTTGGATCAATTTCACACTACAAACTTGACTATGTGTTTTCCATTACGTTATTGAAAAATATTGATTTGATTATATCCCACTTATTTTGAATTCTACTGGTTGAGATTTCTGGATTTATTAAAGAGTCTTCTAGACGAGCTTTCCAATAGTGACTCAACCTTATAAATTTAATCTATTTTATTATTTAAATTCTCTTAAGAAGATTTAAGTGCAAATTTCTAATGGTTAAGCTTCCTCTTTTACTCAACTTGTCCTCATAGAAAGAAACCATTCACTTCAATATCCTAAGATCTTTATTATATTTTTTACAACTTCTAATTACATGTGAAGGTACCTTGATCCTAGCTGTAACGTCGGCAAATAGACAAACTGTTGTCATTTTTTACTTTGTAGAAGCAATGAGTAGGTAAATAAGGTACCTTTTTATTCCTATAATATGTGCATCAAAATGGAATGATGTAACATTTCATGGAATCTAAGCTCATCGTGCTAATATAAAATATCTCAATTTTGTCTCAAGTTATGTACTTGGTGATTCAACTCAACTTAGAAATGCACACTTCTTTGAGAGCATTCATCATGGCCATTTTGCCCATCTAACATTTTCTTATTCATACTAATTTAATACGTACCTGAATTAGTTGTCTTTTTTTCCCAATGCCTATCTTTTTTAGAAATTAAATAGGAGGTACCAATTCTCAACACATGTCATCCATTATTCCTTACCTTTCATACCCTATGGAGAACAATCACACTGAAAGAGTCATGAACATATCATCATCGGATTGGATTTGATTCTTCTGGAAACTATCTTGTATAAAAATGTCATTATCCTGTTATCTATCAGTCCATAAACATCTGTCTATCACCAGTGTGCAAGTTTGAATGATTC